ACGGGAGCTCACCCCACCGCGGGGATTCGAACCGCCGACCATACGATCGGCAAGTCCTAGGCACTGAGGTTTTACCCACAGCGCCACCCGCGTCCCATAGACTACGTCATAGAAATGGTTAAATCATGCCAGGCAGGTTTTCCTGTTTTCCCCACACTTCCTTGGCCTCTTTCTGCTAATCCTTGGCTTCAGACTCTCATTGATATATTCCTTTCTCCCAATCTTTTATTTTGGCCCCATGCGGGTCAATACCTTCCCTGGAGCACCTGCTAAAAGCAGCAGCACCACCAGCCCAGCATATGAGGCAGCCTTGCCCAACTTGGTGCCCTTCAGATGTCTCAGATTGTGAATCCCAAAAGCTCCATCCAGTGTGGGAATAAGAAAGGCTGTGTAAGACGTGGGACTTTCTCTCCTGGAAGCTCCACTGGGATGGACAGGGTTCTTGAGTATCTCCTGTCCCTCGCAGGGGAGCTGGTGTGTGTCCTAGTAGGGAGCTGTAGCCAGCACAAGCCTCCTGATTTTCCCAGCACCCAGCTAGTTCCCAGCCCTGCCCCGTGGCTGACCACCAGGCACTCCTAACAAATCGCCAGCATCTGGTTCCGCGGTAGGACACAAAGGTGGAACTTCCAAAAATCCCCCACTCCCTTATACACACACAGAAAGTTCAGCTTAATAAATGTTGGGAATGAAACATTACGGAAATGCCGATTGCAAGTCATGGAACCATAATCACAATCCTATCAAGGGAGGCTGAAGGCTTTTTCCTCTTAGAGAGGAAGTCATTTTGTGTGGCAAATTCCTCCACCGGTCACAGTCAATTGTTTCCAATGGCCAGGGGCCAAAGGCGGGAGGGAAGGGTTACAGTAACAGCCAGGAAATGGTCTGTTAAACTGGAACAAGGAGAGCAATGCAGGGAGTGGGTGGCTGTTCAGGTAAGGTCTCTCAGGGCTTCCAGTTCGATAAAACAGGCAGGAAGAAGAAGCAGGTCCAGGCCCAGGCCCAGGCCCAGATGGAGCAAATAAGAGAATGCTCAGTTGCGGGGGGGGGGGGGGGGCGGAGTCATAAGGCAGCTGGTCCTGGTCCCCCCGCCCACATATGAGAAGCTGTATCCTGAAGGTTGGTGGGATCCCACCATTTATCCGTGGCCTGAGCAGTCTAGAGGGAGAAAAAACAAAACTAGAAAAGAACTAAGCTGTGGTAACATCCTTCATGGGGTTGGCACCCCTTTTTGTTAGTATCTCCAAGTTTTGGACAGCCCCCTCACACCAACATTTGCAAAACTGCAACTTTTAAGCACCTGCTTTCTCTCTCTCCCCCAGATCCCTTTTTATTATTTATTGATTATCATTATTATATTTCTATATTGCCCTGCATTTGACAGTAACAGGGCCATTTACAATGTAAAAACACAAAAATGCATAACATTGTAAGAAACGAACAAAATAAAAAGACCTCACATTGTTTAAAAGGCCATAGATTATTTACCGTAATTAACAAAGGCCTGGGAAAAGGGAATGTTTGTTTTTATTTATATATTAATTTCCCTCACGTGCAACATATTTTGAGATAGTAAGTCTGAGTTTCTTACTACATTGGTACCTCCGGTTGCAAATTGGATCCGTTCCGGAGCTCCGGTCGGATCCCGAGGTTTCCGCAATCTGAAGACCGCTTCTGCGCATGCGTGCAGGGGCGAGACCCGGTAAAATATTTCCGGGTTTGCCGCTCGTGCACCCCGAAGTTGACATAACCAGAGGGTTACGTAAATGGACTGTACAGTGGTACCTCGAGTTACATACGCTTCAGGTTACAGACTCTGCTAACCCAGAAATAGTACCTTGTGTTAAGAACTTTGCTTCAGGATGAGAACAGAAATCGTGCAGCGGCGGCGCAGTGGCAGCAGGAGGCCCCATTAGCTAAAGTGGTGCTTCAGGTTAAGAACAGTTTCAGGTTAAGAACGGACCTCCGGAACGAATTAAGTACTTAATCTGAGGTACCACTGTACTGATTTTTGTTAGCTGCTCTGGGAGCACTTTCAGCTAAAGTGTGGGGTAAAAATAGTTTAAATAAACCCTGCTCTGTGTAGCCACCTGGGGTAGTTTAATATCTACTGTGAAGAGAAACATGGAGTGGGAATGCATCAGACCCTCAGTTCACTCTGATCCCTTAGTTTGTGGAAATAAATGCACCCCTTCCAGCATGGTTGAAAGTAAAGTTGGCAGAAATGCCCATGTGCAAAAAGTTCTCAATAGCTGAAATCTATAGCTAGGAAATGATTCCGCTGCAGCACAAAGGCTAAGATTTCTGGCAACTCACTACTAGAATAGACTGGCGGCCAAATAAATGAAACCCCCCTCCCTAGGCATTTCGGTGGGGTGTGGCTGACTTGAACTGGCCACCTTTCGGACACAGGAGAGGTGGAAGTCTGTATGGGACCCCCACTCTGAGCATACAGGGAGACCTCTGCTATCCATGCGCCCACAAGGTGCACCCAGCATACTGAGAGTCAGCATGGTATAGTGGTGAGTGTTGGACTAGGAGATTGGGGTTCATATTTGCACTTGGCTATGAAGCTGCCTAGGTGACTTTGGGCCAGTTTCTGCCTCTCAGCCTAACCTACCTCACAGTGTTGTTGTGAGAATTAAATGAGGTGAGGGAGAACCACGTACACCACCTTAAATTACTTGGATGAAAAGGTGGGATAGAAATGGAATGGAATGGAATAAATCAATGCAGAAGCCTGCACTACCTTGGCCAAGAGGAAAGTTAAGTTCCAGGCTACATTGGCGAGATCAGAAGCAGGAGAGGATTTGAAAGAAAAGCTCTGGGAAATCTCTGGTCTCCTCCCATCTGTGGGAACCATAAACGAGCCCACTGCTGACCTCCTGCTCATCCCAGCAGAAGCTGCTCATTCAGATCAGAAAGGCTTCCCTCTTCCCTCTTCCCTCCCCATCCTCTGCCAAGCCAGATCAAAAAGCCATTGGATTATCTTGGCAATGAAAAATGTTTATCTTGCTGACTCTTAATCACCTTCATTCCACGCTGAGCAGCTTTGCCGGCCTACAGGGGTCTGGATTAATGCTGTGGGCTCTCCAAGGGCAGCCTGTCTACAGCAGCCAGATGCTGTCTGCTGCTGAACCAGCCAATGCATTAACTGCTCCAGAATTAGGGCAAGTTGCCCCCCCCCTGCCTTCCCCCTCCCCACAGGTTTGTCCTTCAGGCAGCCTCTTGGCTTTCATGCCTGTTGCTTCTGGGGGATCCTCCTTGATGTTCCTGAGGCCCTGCTTTCCCAGTTAATGGTGGCTCTACACAAGTGCTTGACATAGTGCTTATTATCCTGCGGTGCTCTTCCTGATGGCCAAGATTCTGTAGCATTTACTCACAAGGCGCTGTGGGTTAAACCACAGAGCCTAGGACTTGCCGATCAGAAGGTTGGCGGTTCAAATCCCCGTGACGGGGTGAGCTCCCGTTGCTCGGTCCCTGCTCCTGCCAACCTAGCAGTTTGAAAGCACGTCAAAGTGCAAGTAGATAAATAGGTACCGCTCCGGCGGGAAGGTAAACGGCGTTTCCGTGCGCTGCTCTGGTTCGCCAGAAGCGGCTTAGTCAAGCTTGCCACATGACCCGGAAGCTGTATGCCGGCTCCCTCGGCCAATAAAGCGAGATGAGTGCCGCAACCCCAGAGTCGGTCACGACTGGACCGAATGGTCAGGGGTCCCTTTACCTTTTTAAGCTCTATTCAGCAAAGGATTCCAGCAGTTAATTACGCTAACTGCTTCCTCCAAGTAGATTCAAATTGTGTTATTTCTTCCTGATCAAGACAGCTGAACAGTTAGTGGAAATACCTCATTTATTGTGCCTTGATTATTGTGCCTTGATGCCTATCAAATCTTTATTCTGCACTTCTTCCAAGCTACTCTCTTTTTCTCATCACAGCAACTTTGTGAGGTGGGATGGCAACCCTTCCTTCTTATAGCAAAGCAATTTTGTTCTGTTAAAGAATGAAAATAAAGCCTTCCCCCCTGCAAGAACAGAATCTTGACATTGGAACAGTGAAAAGAGGTTATATCAGGGGCAGTTAATAGGCTATCAGTTACCAGACCCTCACCATTGCCTCTCAGGAAGCAGTAAAATGGGATGAACCTGCAGGCAGGAAATGTGTAATTAAAGCTACACTTTTAGAAAACCGAGGTGGGGGAGGAGGCAGTTTGAACACAAGGGAACAGGACTGCATTCTTTTGCCCCACCACGCAGTGTGGCTAACCTTTGGAAGCTCATTCACACACACACACACACACACACACACACACACACACAACACTTTCATTTTCACTGCTGTGCTTTCCCCTTGTTCATCACATTAGAGCACCAGCAGCAGGAATGCGGCCTCTATACTACTGCAAGCAACTGGTGTAAACTTTAAGAAGGGTTGTGGGTATGGGGCTGGCTCCGCTGCTGCCTGGGTTTGGAATTGCTCTGCAATCTTGCACTGTTGGGCAAGAGCTTACCTGCCCTTTGTCAAGTGCTAGAAGGCAACAGCGAAGCCTTTCAGGTGACTTTAAAACAAGAAGTTGAAGAGCAGAAGGAAGAAACGCAGTGGAAATTCCTCCAAATGGCATTGGGAGGGGGGGTTATCAGCACAAGGCAATGGGAAATCCCAGCTAGACAGACTCCACATCAGAAAAAGGGACAGAGGGAAGAAATGCCACCTCTACACCTCAGGAGGTTGGACACATTCCTTGACATGAAGTGACCTGGTACCATCTGGTCCAGAGGCCATGGAACCCTCTGTTAACAGAGGGAGGGGAAGGAAGACCTGTGAAGGCATCAGTCTGGCACAAAGGTTTGGATTCTTCATCACTGTTATTATGTTATAGTTACGGATTTTAAAACAGGACTTGTGGAAGGGTTTGTGTGGCATGAGAAGCCACAGGGATGTCTCTTCTAAGACAGGGTAGGGGGGCAATGTCCCAGAAAGCCAGCTATCTTAAAATTTGAACATTAGATACCTCCTTAAAATATATTTGTTGTTACATTATTCAAAAGTTTCTGCTGCACAATATAGTAGACTACAATACTGTACTGTCAATCATATTGTGAACCTTACTGACTCCAGACGAGCTGCTTTTGTCCTCCGCTGTACATTGCAAAGGCCTTTGGCTATATGCAATAAAAATTTATTGATTGACTCCAGTCTAGCACCTCATGTTTCCCAAGGCTTATTTTCATGTGCAGAGAAACTGAGCCTGCCAGGAGCTTTATTTTGATCCAGCAGCTTAGGTTTTGCATTGTTCTTCTTAGTTAGCTGGCCAAAGAGCTGCCTGGCAAAGTCCTTTGATTAAATGCAGTTCTTGTAAAGTTTATCTGAACTGCTGGTCTATTTATTTTTTCATGAAAGAACAATGAAGTTAAAACTTAGTCCATCAGAAATGTTAAGGGCACAATCTAAACCCACGATCCACCATGCTGGGGATGGTGGTGGATGCAGCATTGAAAGTGCAGGAGAGCCGCTGGAGGGCCTCCTGCTGGTGGCAGCACAAAACATCTCAGTGGCTACACCAGCTCCAGAGGGGAGTTGCTGCCGCCAGTATTATGTGTATGTGTGTTTTAATAAGAACAAGAGAGTGTAAGATTATGAGTAATGGGGGTGTCAAGAGGTGCATATGAACTTAACAGTGCTTACTTTATTTTTTGGTTGCAATTTTGTTAATGCCGTTGATATTATTTTATAGATTATAATGGCTGTATTGATTTGTCAATCATATAAGATGCCTTTTGCTTTAATTGTGGATATTTAGCTTGGTTTTTATTTGCTGCTTTGTTCACAGTGTTTTACCAATTGTTTCGTTGATGGTTTGTTAATCTATACGATTTAAGCTGTATATGTTGATGCTCTATTATGCTTGATCATGTTGTTATTATTGTTTGTAAATCGCTTGAGGATTCATTTGAATGAAAAAGTGGCATAGAGATATAATCAGTAAATAAATCAAAGCAGGATTTTGCCTCCCCACCGCCACCTTCTGCCCAAGCTAGCTTGAAAAACAGGGCTACTGTGGAGATGGCGGATAGTGACTGTGCCCCTATCTGGCTGGGATTTAGACTGCCCTGTAAGGAAGAAGCTCAGCTTTCTAAAGAAGCACGCAGAGGAGAAGAGCAGGGCAGGGCAGGGCAGAGCCCATAACTCATCAGCAGAGCCTTCCAGTGCACCTCCAGCAAGAAGGGTCTTAGGAAGGGAGCTATCCAAAGTCAAAGTGGTGGGATAACAGTCTGACTCAGCATGTCAATTCTTGCAGCTCCTGCTCTGCATGAGAATCTGGGTCAAGAAGCCTGAGCAGAACCAGCAAAAGCAGCTGTAAAATACAGGGCAAAGTGTAGTTTAAATGCTGATTCTAACATAATTACAGTTCTTAACCAGCTTGTCTTTATTCCTTTGTATTTAGTAATGTTTTGAAACGCAGTAATCCACCTTGGAACCCAACCTGAGAGAGAGAGGCTGGATATGAATACATTATGAAATAATAATAATAGTAATAATAAAAACCACCTGAAAACAAGGTGATGTCTACACATTAAGCAAACACAAGAGGCTGGATTTGGGATGAGTAGACAAGCGTGGGACTTGTTGAGAGAAATGGTGAGCACCGATGGATTTGGGACTGAGGGCTTGTTAGGACCAAGGCAACACCACCTGCCTCTCTAACCCCATTGCACTTCTGCAGAGACCCTCCCAAGGTGGTCACCCTGAAGGAAAGTTATGTTGCCTGGCAAAATCTGTTTCCTGAAAGTCCAGAGAGTGGATGCCTGTCTTATCTCAACAGGGATGCTGTTCCACAAAGCAGGGACTGTGGAGAAGGTTTCTGGTATTTCTGGCACTTTTGAGGAGAGGTGCTCCTGCAGAACGCAGGGCATAAAGGACATGTACAAGATAAGGAAATCTCTCAAGTAACCTGGCCCTGAGCCTTTTGTGTTAGTACCAAGCTGCTACCTTGAACTTGGGTAGCAGCTTGGAAGCCACTACAAATCCTGCAAGCAAGGTGCTATGTTCTGGCAGTAGTTTGCCCCCACAAGAAACTTGGCCACTAAGTTCTGCACCAGCTGAAGCCTCTGGACCAACTTCAAAGGTAGCCCCACATACAGCTCAGTCGGTAACAACATGAGATAATCTCAGGGCTGTGGGTTCAAGCTCACATTGGGCAAAAAGATTCCTGCATTTCAGGGGTTTGGACAAGATGACCCCCGTGGTCCCTTCCAGCTCTCTGATTCTATGATTTAATAAAGCTATGAAAATGAATTGATGAGTTTCAATCCATCCCTTTTACGGTGGACTCTCCTCACCTGTCAAAGTGATCTAGCAGCTGTGATGAGTGATCCCATCACGGAACCCAGGAGTTCCCCTCTGCCTCTCTGGTTCTTCAAGTGCAGCATGTGGCAAGAAACAGGTTTGGTTTTCCTCCTATGGCTGCAACCACCAACATGGCAACGTCAGGGTCCAGAAATCAGGGCAGCTTCTCAAACTCATTGGCCAGGTGATGTTCTGTTGTTCTTCCTCCCTGAAAGGCTCCAAAGGGAGGTTGCTGCCTTCTTAAGTGCAGAAAGTCCAGGGAGAGGGATGCCAGTCTGCCAGTCGGTGGGGCTGCATGCCTGGGAAGGCAAGGCTGCCACTCCTGCTGGTCACCCTTGTCTGTCTCTCCACAGCTCTCTGCTCCTCACTTGATGTCTTGCAAAAGAGAGACCCTGCTAGTCTCCTGGCCCCCACTGGGAAACATAAAACATACCCAAACACTGGAGAAAAACAGAATAAAATAGTGATGCAATTTGATGTCCCCAAAAAGTCTGGACTGGCTGCAGGGCTGCCGCCAGCAGCTGACTAGCCCTCTGAGTGCTGAGGAAGATTTTCCCCCACTTGTGGTCAGACCCAACAGCTCCAGCTCCTGCCTCAGAGACAGCTTGCTGAGGCGATGGGCTGCGGAAGGCCATCAGAGGTCTGGCATGGAGTTGAGGGCAGGCGCTGCCAAAACCAAGCGGGCTTCTAAGTGCATGCGCCCCACCACCAAAAAGGGGATCAGTTTCTAAAACCTCTAAGTTAGGATTGTGTAGCCACTCTCCAGAGAAACCAAGATCTCCCCCTACCAGAAGGGTGGAAAATAAGAATTCAGGTCACCCTCTGCCATGAATAAGAGTGAGTGGGGTGAGGTGGGAGAAGGTTGATGCTCACAGCCCAAGGCAGTCCTCCTCCAGTTTGGCCCTTGCAACTCCCTCATTACGCCTATTGTTGTAACACACACATATCCCACAATGCAATCCATCAACCAGAGCTGGTTCTACCTCTGGGCAAAAGGGACAGTTGTCATGTGTGCCAAGCCTCTTGGAGGTCTGAGACAGCTGGCATATGGACCTCATAACTCCGTCCCTCCCTCCCTCCATCGCTCGCAGAGAGGTCCCCTTTTAGGCAGGAAGTCACTGTTCTGTAGATTAATGTGCTTCTGAATATGGGGGTGGGGGTTGCTCCACTTTCAATGGAAGTATATTGGTGAAAAATAGCTCTGAAAAATAGGCTGTTTCAGAAGGGGCCACTCAGTCTTATGGACTATGCAGCTCTGCGCTAGGTCCAAAGCATGCATAGACAACCAGCATAAATCATTTGTGGCTTTGTGGGAGTAGGAGCTGGTCTTTCACACAGACATACCAACTAGAATCAATGCAGGCCAATCTGCAAAAACTGAATCAGTAGTTGAATCAGACCCAGGTTTGGTCCCCAATAATTTCTCCGGTTAGGGCTGGAGTCGGACTTCCCTGGAACCCTGGAGAGCCTTTACTGCCAGTCAGTGTAGTACTGTAGACAGTATGAACCAATGAACTCAGCATAAGCGCATTCCCTGTGTTCCTTTTCCTAAAGTGCTAATAATAAAGTTGTGTTTTTGCATGACTCCAGCCTTCATCAAGCTGGTGCCCTCCAGATGTTTTTACAACTCCCACCAGCTCCAGCCAATGCAGTAATATGTTCCAAAACATCTTGAGGGCATCAGGTTGGGGAAGGCTGTCCTCAACCATTCAAAGGGATGTTTCCCTGCTTTCAATTCTCTGTGCCTCTGTAAAGGGGGGGGGGGTTGCAGAAGCTTCAAGAGGGCACATTTCTCAGGATTGCAGGCAAGCTCGAATCATGTAGAAGAGGGGTTATGTTGCTCTTTCAGACTGGGCATCCATGCCCACCCCAACCCCCGGCCACTGCATACAACTAGAAGTGTAACAGGCATCAATCTCAATGCAATATTCAAAATGACTCCCCTCCCTAAATGAATGTGTGGACTCTTGCTCTTGGGGTATGAGAGTTGTCCTTAATCCAAGTAAATGTACAGCCCCAGCTAGGAAAAGATGTACCATCTCTGGGAGCCTAAGGATTGGGAGCAAAAAGTTCCCCAAAATGGTAGAGCATCACTGCAAGGGCTTGTTGGCATCTGTCAACAACCACTATTTTCTTCTACACCTCCCCCTTCCCTAAAGGATTCTAGAGATCTCCACAACAGACTGGAAAGCATGGTAAGAGGCAGGATAATTGTGGTTCATTATGGCTCCCCCCCCAGAGACCATGGAAATTCCTCGTCACATAAACCCAAATGTAGGCTAGTGATTTGATCCCTCTGGGATGCTGCTGCCATGGACTGCTTACTCAACTCTGACAACTCCAGGAATGATTCACAGAAACCAAAAGCAGTTTCTGGCTATGGCAAAGGAGGCTGCTCATCAGCCTACTTGTGGTATCTGACGGATTTTGTTCCATCTCTGGAAAGAAGAGTTGCTGCAGAAAAGCGCAATGCTAGCAATTATTGCCCGTAAGCATCAATCTGCTGAAAAGAAATAACCCAATTGTTTCTGCCAGTGTTACCAAAGAGGATATATCCTGTTGTTGCCATTCCTCTTCAAATTTCACCTCCTTTGTGAGTTGACTGACAGGTTTGTATGCCCCTGAGCTAGGTGTGTGTGTGCACTGCTGCTGGGAAAGGGGGTCATGGTGTACCTCGGGGGAAACAGGGCAACTTGAGAAACACGATCTCTGACAATACAAGCCTAATCATGTCTATTCAGAAAAAAATCGTGCTGAATTCAACTGCGCTTACACAATATACCCGTTTAATCATATTTCAATAAAAAGCAAGCAGGGGGCCAACCCAAAAGATCCGCAGGCCAGCTTTTATCTTCACTTACAAACTGAAAAAGGAAATTACTCTTGGGTCTTAAAGCAGATGGAAAGCACATTGAAAGTAAAAATGTAAAGTTCTGAGCTAAACAAATCTATTCTGAAAGAAGAGTTCCTCTTCATTCCTATAAAACCAGCCTAAAATGAATGCTGGCCTGTCTTAGCTAAGGGCGCTCTGCCTCCTAGTGGCAGCGCCTGAGCCCAGGGGTGCGGAGAAGGTGGTCGGGGGGCGAGACACCCACCCTCCCCAAGGAAGAAGGGGCGGAGATGGCCACGGCGGGAGTGAGGAGCAAAAAACGTTCTGCCCCGGGCATGCAAAACTCTGGAGCCAGGCTGGGTTGAAGGGGCGTCCGGTGCGAGGAAGCTACCCCTGCGGGGTAGAGGCAAATCGAAAGGGAGCCTCACCAAGAAACCCCAGCCCACGCGGACCGAGGGACCGATCGGAGGTCGGTCCGCCGTTCCTTCCCTTCCGCTGCGGAAACTTCGCTGCTGGCATCGCCGGGGCTGCCCCTTCTGGCTGGAGCGCGCGCACGTGGAGCAGGCAGCTAATGGCTCCGCCCACCGACCTTCGGCGGCCAATCAGGCTTCGGCGCGCCCCCCTCCCTAGGCCCAAAGAGCTCGGGGCTCTGTGGGCGCAGATACTTCCGGCTCTCAGTGGTCAGCAGGAGTGGACGGCATGGGTCTCTCCCGGTGTGTCTTGGTGTATTGTGTGTGGCCAGTAGAGGACGTCGGAGACCGGGTGGGCGGGGCTAGTAGCTCCTCCCTCTGCTGTGTTTCGACTCCGCCCCTCGCCCCTCCCGCCATTCGCCTCAGACTCTCTCGCCGGGACTGAGGCGAGGCTAGCCTGGGTGCCGCGGCCATGGGCGAGCCTCCCGCTCCTTCCGCTTCGCCGCCTCCGGGCTCGGTGCTGTGCCGGCTGCAGTACCTGGAGGACGGGGACCCCTTCTCGTGCGCCGCCTTCCCGGAGCCGCGCCGCCCGCCCGCCCAGCCCGTCGCCGAGGCGCTGCCGCTCGCCGCCCAGCTGCCCGCCTTCCACCGCCTTCTCGACGCCCCGCTCCCGGTGAGAGAGAGAGATGTGCGCGGCCTCTGAGCGCGTGCAGAGCGCCGGCAGGCGAAACCGCAGCCCTCGCCTTTGTAAGGTGCAACGGGGCAGGAGGCGGTAGAAGCCTCTGGCTGTGCTCCCCTCAGAAGTCCACGGGGCCAGCTGCTCCCTGGATGGGGCTGCCTGGCGCCGCCGCCCGTGGCTACTAGTCCCGGTGGCTCTTGGTGCGAGGGGAGGACAGCGCTGTGCGCAGCTGGGGAGGTTGATGCTTCCTGGAGCCCCACGGTGGTCATGTGCTTGGTTCCTATCAGGGCAGGATGCTGGGGTGGGGGTAGGAGAGAGGGGTGATCCAGCTTCTGGGAAGCAGCATCTGAAGGTCTCCCTGGAGGAGAGAAGAGCCACCAAGGGAGGCCTGGCTTTTTCTCCTTTTTTGCACTCTTGGCATGCTCAAGGGAGATTGGGGCTGGCACAGCTTCCCAAGGGGAGCCCCCCACAGTAAGGTTAGGGTGCCCAAAGCTCATCATTCCCTTATTGGGGGGGGTTTGCCTTCTGCCTTCCTCTCTTGCCTTTAGATTTTTGGTTTCTGCTCTGTAAATTTCTTATTACTTTTAAAACCGCCAGCCTTGCACGTGGTCTTACTATAAGAAGGCGGCATACAAATCAGTGATGATGCATTTCTGGACAGAGTCCCCATCTGCTTTGCCTGGCAATACAACATGGACAAATTTCTTCTAAAAAGTTGGGTGGTTCCCAGCTTAGAATTTTTGTGTGCAAAATTATGGCTATAGAAGGTCCGCTTGCCTGACTTGAGATGGCCTTGTGGTGTATTAGAATGCAGTCCAGGTACGTTTGCATTGCGCAATTCTCTGTCTAACATGACTTTTTTTTTGCAGTCCAGAGATAACAAGAGACAAAAAGCAGTGACAGAGTTAGAATGATATATAAATTTTTGGCAGCCACAGGCATGAAATAGATAAGCGCTCAAAACACATGCAATAAATGAATATTGTCCAGTTTATATCTTGACATCATAGCTGAGAATGTATGCACTGACAAGATATTGATGGGCCTGTAGCATTTGCTGTGCCAGTATGACTCAAACCATATATTTAGGCCAGATCAGATATTTTGATCACCATAGATTGGTGTTCAGTCATGCTGTTTGGTCAGCCTTGCAGAGGTATCCTAGGAACAGTTATTGGCTGCCTCAGTGGTATAGTCCCTGTGTTGTGTCTTGTAGCCTGGGCCAGCAGAGGTGGAAGATGTGTGTTTAGGTTGTTTTTCATCTCCTGGCCTCTAAATAAGCTGAACGCCCTACAATTAGATGTTGGTCTTGATTTGTTGTTTCATTTGCTGCTTTATTTTTGGCATGAAGCAGCTGAATATCTCATGTCAATAGTCATGGGGTATTTTTTTGTTGCGACTAAAGGGGGTTGGGAACAAACAGGCAAAGCCGTTCCAACTAAGTGTGCTTGGGTTTTAAACATGTGCTCTAGAGCCAGGCTGTGTGCACAAACAACAGCTCTTATTATAGTCTAGTTATTGCAGATATTGCAGGAATTGAGGGCTAAGTGAGACTTTAACCCTCAGTGCCTCTTTGCATTTAACACAGACTCCCCTCACCCCACCCCTCTGCCGCTGCCACTGCCCTAAAAAAGGCAAAGAGCATCAACTGGGGATTCATCAATTGGGATTGCTGCTACGGTCTTGATGGAGGAATGTAACCCCTTTCTCTCCTGCTATAGTTTTGGGGAAAATACCTACTGTGAAGATGTTGATGCAAATGGAGGATTTCCTCCCAATGCAAAATACTTGCTTCAGAAGAGGTTTCCTCAGGAGTGCCTTATTTCCCCTTCCACTCTTCACCTACAAACTTATGAAGTGTTCTCCTTACTCCTGCTATTCATCTTCCAATTCAGCTCTTGCCTTCCTCCTCTGGCTTCTAAACCTGGAACTGCTCTTGCAAAAATATGTTGATCTCTCACTACAAAAGTCACTATTTGGTCCTTGTTTGGTGCCTTTGCTAGGGGGGGGGTCACTCTCTCCTGCTTGACTCTCTTTATGCAAATGGAACGTCACAGCTCCCATCATCCCTGATCATTGGCTGCTGGGAGTTGAAGTACAACATCAGCATCTGGAGGGCCACAGGTCACAAACACACCCTACTTTATGCCCGTCAGTCAGTCTCTGATTCTGTTTTCATCTGGTTTTTTGTCTGCCTAAGTGTTCTTTCAGTATTTACCTAGGTGGAGTATCTTCCTTTGTTTTCTCTTTGTTGAGGGGCCTGCCTGGGGATCTCTTGTTGTTTTCTGCTCTTTTCTCCACACACTGAATGACCACTTTCCCATGGCTTTCAGGACCACCTGTACACAGAGGTTGAAGTGTAGCTCTTTCCCTTTCACTCCCATTCTGCATCACCCAACTGATATTTCTGTTCAGATGCTTCATTGTCTCAAGTGCCACTGCCTCCCAGACTGAACTTTTCATATTTCCTCTTTAGCTCTCCTTTTCTTACTATATTTGTTGACGATGTTACCATGTATCAGGCAATACATGTGCCTGCAGAGTCTCTGGTGCTCTCCCTGCTGAAATTGGGCTTGGAAGGAAGCTTCCTATTGTAGGCAATGGAACAGGTGGGCAGTGTGCGCTTGGTGCCAATGGCAGAGTCCGTGGTTTGCGAATGGGGGCCTAGAAAGCTTGGTTGATTCCCGCCACCCCATGTAGTATACTGTTGAACAGGCCTGCAGGCCTTGGTTGAATGCCCTCTCTGTTCCCTGTATTCACTGTGTAGCTGAGCCATCTTGTTTAATTTCTTTCCAACTTTACAGAGACCCTCCCTCTGTTTCCTTGAGAAAGGTAGTGACAAAGGTGATTGGTGTGGGCTGCAGAGTGTTGGGTAGACATGAGAAGTGTGAGCTGAGAGACTGTAAAGGATGCTGGGTATGTCTCAAGATCAATTTGCTACATGGTAGATGGGTGAGTAGTGGGAAGTGCAAGAGCTCATTGAAAGACCTGGTGGAACATGCCTGAATTAAAGGTACCAGCCTCAGGCTAAGTGGTTGCTCTCCCCCCCCCCACTTTTAGAGTGTGAAAATCACTTTAATTAGTGAGTAGTGTTAGTCATATCCTCACATAATTCACTTTTTTGTTTAGTGTTCTTACAAGGGAAATCAGTTCCTGAAATTCTTGTTCCAGACTGACCTTTGTAGTACAAAACATGCTTTCTGAAGATGACCCACACTCTGACTCCTGGAATGAGTCTTGTCTGTCCACATTTAATCCTAAAAGCATTTGCAGAGCCTGTCACGTGTGCCCTAGTAGGGGCGTAGCCTTATTGGAGATGTTGGGCTGATGTAAAGGGGCCTCATTCTGAGGGCATTCCTGATGAAGCAGCAAAGGTGCTGCCCCTTGAGGGTGGACTGAGTGCTGGTTTTAGTAGCAGCAAAGCAATGGTGTTGCTGGAAACTTCTCTCCTGTACGCTGAGCAGACGGGATAATCATGCACAGCAAAGACCAGCTTCTGTGTCCAAAATTAGTCCAGTGACAGTCAGATTTTCCTCTGGAGTTTGTTTCAGCTATTTCATCTGGGAATATTAAAAATAAACGTTCTCCCAAGTATACTCAGGGCCATCAAGAACTTCTTGTCCTCTGTCTTGGGAGGGCTATTCCTGACTCCCAACTTTGTGTACTGCTTTTGACAAGAGGGCTAGTTTCTTGGCCATCTTGTTTTCAGTTGTCCCCCACCACCATTGCCTGCCACAGGTAATGATGAGCCAACCTTCCCCAACCTCTTGCTCTCCAGATGTTTGGGGCTGATCGGAGTTATAGGTGGGTGCCAGCTTGTGGGAGGCTGCTCTAAGATTTGTGCTACATCAGCAAACTTGAGCAGATAAATTCACCCCACCCCCAGGAACTCTATTTTGGAAGATTCTGAAAGCTGCCATGTTGACAATAGCCCTGATCTCATGCCTGTCTTGCATATCCCAGGTGAGGCTCAGAACTCTGAGGGGCTGGAAAGCAGAGCAGCCAAGGGAGAAATCCATATGGGTTGCAGGAGCAGCTGAGCAAGTGGCACTTCTGAGCAGTACTACACTAGACTCTCCTTCACTGAAGTTTTTAAAGCAGAGGTTGGATGCCCATCTGTCATTGATGCTTTAGTTGAGATTCCTGGGTTGGACTAGATGACCCTTACGATTCTGTGGCTAGGCTCTGTGACCAGTGCTGGTTGCTGAGCATCCCCTCCTAACCACAGCCTCTGACTTTCAAGACTTGGGTGAGGCCCACGGCTGCCACACTTCAGAAAGAAGTGCAGGCTGGCCCTTTCGGAAAACAGAGAGAGCAAGCTTCAGCACACAGCACACAGTGACAGAGTCCTGTGTTTTGATGAGAAGCAGGGCTTAGCCTCAGTTTCCAGGCCAAAAGGAGAGTTGATCAGCTTGCCTGCCAGAGCAGTCGTGGGTGCCTGTTCGTCATTATGTTCCTTGTTTTCTGAGCACTGTTGGCATGAAGGGTTGGCTCTGCTTGTGACACCCCTCATTAATCATCAGGGGCTGTTCTCTTTCGGGCACAAGCGCAACGTAAATAGTGTGGTCCTGGTACATTTGTCTCCTTCCTTTCTGCAGAATTTGAGCCTAAACAATCTGGTCACATGGTGCAGAATGGAAGGTGCAGGGGGAAGGGATGGGATAAGAAAGGTGGGCATCTAGACTGACTTCTCTGATGCGAGGCTCGGTTTTGGGGGACAGTAGCCATGAGAAGAGATGTTATGAGTTCTGGAAGCTCTGCCAGCCTGGACAGGTCTAGCTTGTGAGCCTTTCTCAGATGATGGCCACGTTGCTGGATAAATATGAGAGCTAGGAACTTTCTACTTCTGGTCTCCTCCTCCTCCTGAGATGAATAGAATGCCAAATTCTCCACTAGACATCTTCTAATTCCGAAGTGGGAAGTTCTCAGTAGCCAGGATCCCCATCAGGGATTAATTTCTCTCTTGCCTCTTATAGCCTATGGGAGGAATGGATCTTGCAGCAGTTTTTTAAATGGTGACTGCAAGAAGCTGTCTGATCCTGAAGCAGACTATGGGGGGTCCATCTGTCTCAGTTTTGTACACACCAGTGGTTCCAGTTAAGTACTTCAGACCCTCTGTTTTTCAGAAGCCAAGCTATGAACCCCCTACTTTTGAAAATTTTGATATCTGTATAGAAGTTTTTGTTATGTAAATGGACCCCCTGAAGTCCAAAGACCACCAATTGGGAACCACTGGTCTACCCAGTGTTAGAAATTAGCCAGACACATTTTGCAACTGGCATGGCTCCAATTGCAACCACATGGAGATCTCTGGATGCCAGGTTGGCGACTGAGGAAAGCAAAATGCCAGAGGAGGAGGAACTGAAATATTTTCCTTGAAGCCTGAATTGGTTTTATTTGATGTTTTAATGTGATGTAAACCGCTCTGAGGTTTTTTTCTTTAAAGTATAAAGCGGTATAGAAATGAAATTAATAATAATAATACCTCACTGCAAAAAAGCCCCTAGTCATTCCATTGTGGTGACTGCAGCCTAGGTTTCAGGTGCCACTTGGCGGTTAGATTATATATCTGAGTCTCTAACAGTGGACTCTACACTAACTGTCAGCAGTTCTTATGCATTCAGGCAGGGAATCTTTCCTGTTCTCCTTGGAGATGCAACTCAGGATCTTTTGTATGCAAAGCAGATGTCCTACCACTGAGCCTAAACATGAAAGCTTCTCATGCTAGCTCATGGCCTGGCAACTTCCTGGGCAAAAGAGGTGGTCCTTCTGCTTTAGGGGAGGCTGGCAGCACACTCCATGAGCTCATTTTAAAAATAGATTTATATCCTGTCTTTGAGAAAATTGATCATGAGATACAAGTTAAACATATAACAATATATAGAACGTTTCAGCAAAAGGCAGAAAATCAGTACAATATAGTCATAGGTAAAGCTCGAGGAGACAACCATTAATAAAGCAAGCCACTATCCCACGTCCACTAAAACACAGCCAAGCTCAACAGTTGAAAAGTCCTGTCCACTTAGCCTTCCTTCAAGAAAGATCCTGCAAGAATAATGAAGTTTTAAGATATCATTAGAAAGCCCGCAGTGCCGCTGTTTGATGGAGCCCAGTTGGCCATGAATCTCATTGGAGAGCGGCCACTGCCGCATCCCTGCCAATTCCACCTTTCCTTGGGGTGGGCAAAGAAGGGCCTCTGTTGCTGACCCCCAAGTGCAGCCAGGTATGTGCAGGTATGGGTGGTCATCCGCGTATTGATGCCATTTCAGTCCAAGCCTCTGGGTCACTCCCCCCCCCCAGCAGTTTCATGTAGATGTTGCATAGAGACACTTGTGGCACTGATCCTTGAGTGAAGGGGTCATGTTTGGATACAGGCCAGCCTGCTGCCTTTTTGAATAGCCCTGCAACATGCCTTTCTGCCTTCCCAGGCCCATTGTCCTTCACTGAAGCTGTCCAGAACGTGGACAGGCAGGACTGGAATGGCCTGAATCAGTCTTGGAGCTGAGAATAATGTGCCCTCTTTGAGGTTGAGCAGGATTCCTGCCAAAGCTCATCACAGGAGGGAGGGGCAACAGCAGGCCTGGGACTTGGCCAGCCTTTCTTCTTCACAAGGCTTGTTAACTCTTCATTGCCTGCCCTTGGAGAGCAACCAAAGAGTTGATGGTGAGGAGGGGATTTGCATCACAGCCCTCTTCCCAAGAGGAGCTGTTTCCTGCATCAGCACCTCCTATGCCATCCACTGGGATAGGAGCATCTCCCTGCCTGTCCTGGCTGAGCAGCAGGTGAGAGGGGCAGCCTAGTGCCTCTCTGGATTCCACAGCTCTCCTTGCATGAATGTGTCCATCCAAGTTTGGCCAGTTTGCCAGCCCTTCCTTCAGAGTGTTGGCTGTGGGGCTTCTTACCCATGTTCTGATCAATCCAAAGCCTGCTATTTGGAAACAGAGCTGTATCTCTAGCTTATTTTTGTTTTTGCTTAAAGACAATATTCCCCTCAGATCGGGCATTTCCCTTGTGATGGCTTTTGGGAATAGCTGGGAGCTTCCCGTTGTGGTGATAAGGTCTGACTCAGCATGGGGTGAGTCAGCTGCAAGTCTTGCAAAGGGAGGGAGGGGTGTGGCAGCAGATCTCAATCTTCCCTGTCTCTGAGATGAAGCTGGTTGCATCTCTCTGGGCTTTCTTGTTACCATCCGTCTGTCTCTGGAGACAGTGGAGGAGTCTGCCTTTGGGAGTGAAGGCAAACTGTTGGAAGGAGGGGAGAAACCCCACAGCCCTTGGCTTTTGGTGCAGCCTGCCTGTCTCTGCAGTATTGGGCTAGCAACATTTTTCCCTTCCCAAGCCTGACACCTCACTTCCCGTTTTTCCAGCATATCTGGCATACAGTGGTACCTCGGGTTAAGTACTTAATTCATTCCGGAGGTCCGTTCTTAACCTGAAACTGTTCTTAACCTGAAGCACCACTTTAGCTAATGGGGCCTCCTGCTGCCGCTGCACCGCCAGAGCACAATTTCTGTTCTCATCCTGAAGCAATGTTCTTAACCTGAAGCACTATTTCTGGGTTAGCAGAGTCTGTTACCTGAAGCATATGTAACCTGAAGCGTATGTAACCTGAGGTACCACTGTACTTGGGTCACCTGGGGAAGCTATTTCTCCCAAGAACCATCCTCACAATCTTGCTTTGCTCTGCTCTTCGGGCTGACCTCTGTGTCTTTCCTGCAAGCTTCCTCTGCTACTTCTAAAGCAGAAATAGCCCCTACCATGCCACTTTTCTTTCCCGTCCCTCTTTCTGAACACCTGGGCTGTCTATTCAGTTGGTGCAGGCAGGGGCCAAACCACCTTGGCATCTCCTCTAACCTCATCACATTGACCACAAAGAGTTTCTGGAAATGAGAGATCCTAGTAGTGTACAGGCATGCTGCCTGTAGATTGACACAAAGCTACCACTGGAAATGGAATCTTTTATGCAGTTTCAACATATGCTACTCAGTTCCTCAAGCCAGAGGATTCTCCGTGTGACTTACAACACAATTAAAATCCACTTAAGCAGTAAAACCAGTAAACAGAAAGTGGAATAGAGACACCCAACTCCTTTCTGCAGTCACTCTTTGGGCAGTTCCCTCTTTTGCTGGTCATTTTCAGACATTGCCTCCATCTTCTGCTGGGGTTTTTATCCACTGAGTGGTCTTTGCATTCCAAGAATTCTGAGTTGCAGCTCACCCTTCCTGAGTTATTTGCTCACCCCAAGGCTCATGTTGCTCGTCCACTGAGGAAAGCCAGCTGCTGGAGGCTCTCTCTGCTTTGGGGTCCTCCTTCCTGGGATCCTCCTTCCTGGGGCCTACACCACTGACGTAGAGCCTAGGGCTTTATTTCATAATGGCTTTGGTTCTGCATGCTTTAGAACAGGAGTGGCCCATGGTCGGCATCCAGCCCACCACCGTAGCTGTACCTGTGGTGATTCACCCACATTCAGAGCAGAGGGAAGGGTAGCACAAGGGTGGAAGAGGAAGCTGCGGGTGGGTTTCTAATCAGCTTAACCTTGCATGCCACCTTTTCTGGTAGCAAGTATTCGTACTTGAGGGTATGTCTGGAGCCAGGGAGGGTTCTGCGCTAACCACCCCCAAATCATGGGAAGTTGGCTATCACTTCCTTGTGTCTTTTGAGTCACCGGGGGAGAGTCTGAATTAGTCCTTCTGTTAAACTTGAAGGGTTTGGGGAAGGAGCACAGGGTGCCTGTCAGGATGGGCCTGTTCCCTGTGCTAGTCAGCCTGCTTGGCTCACCTGCCCACTGCTCACCTGGCTTTGGCTACTCAGGACTGTTTCCTCACTTTTGCTTTGCTTTCTTTGCTGCCCTGTTGATTCCCTAAGTGAGCAGGCAGGCAGACTCCCTCTCTAATATTGGATGTGCTTGTGTTTTGCAGCTGGAGGACTGCACCTTGCAAGTCTTGCCTTCTGGGCACTACCTGGACCTGGAGCTTTCCCTGCTGGAGCAGAAAGATGAGCTGGAAGGGTTCTATGAAGAAATCAGGTGAAAATATCTCTCTGCTGCAGGGTATATTTACTCTTTCCCAACCTGAATTGGGCAGCACTTTCCATAGGTTTCTGGCTTCACAGGTTGCCATTTAACCCTAACACCTGATGCAATCTTGTCAAGCAGATCCCGAAATATGGTTGTTAGTAGATGTCCACACTTGTGAAGTTGGCATGGTTAGGTGGTCAGTGCCCCAGGTTCCTCTTGCCTCCCTCCTGAGCTAGTGGCATCTTCTCTCTTCAGCTGTTTGGTGAGCAAATGTGTTGAAGAGGAGGGGGAGGAGGTTCCCAGTAGCTGGCTGGCAAGTGTTCTTGGGAAGCAGACTGGGGCTGAGGGAGCCTGTGCTGATCTAGGTCCTGTTTCCTTTTCTGTCATTGCAGCAAAGGGAGACGGCCTATCCTGCTTCTCCGCACACAGCTCTCTGTCCGAGTCCAGGCCATCCTGGGTGAGTCTCAACTCTGTTATTGCTTGGAGCTCTTTAGCTCTTGCTGACCACGGATTCTGAAAGCACTTGTTGGGATTGGCCTTCCAAGGCACGACCACGGGAGGGCTAACACAGGGTCAGCTGCTGCTGTTGCTGCTGCCGCCGCCGCTGCCTAACTCTGAACTTGGCTTCTTCTATTGCTATGCGGGGGAGAAAATACCTTGATGTGGGTTATCTGGAATTTTTTTCTGTGCAAATTAGGGTAACTTGCCCTGGAAAACTTTCTGCTGCCCTCAAGAGTGATCCAGTCCAGTAGGTTTACTTTTATTTTTACTTAGTAAGCAAAGCTAAAAGTGCTGGAACCGCCAAGTCTGCTCAATTATTTCTACTCCCTCTAGGGTACAAAAGATAGACAAGTCAAGCTTATTATCTCTTCCTATTTTAATTTGAGTGTGTAACAACCAAGAAACTCTTCCAAACTGAGGTTTTACCCAGATTACCAGTGCCAGTTTGCAAGCCTGAAATATGGCTCTTGGGACACCTTGCTTTGCAGCACTGTTAGAGCCTGTGGCCTTTCATCTCCCATGGGTCAGGGTGATGGCAGTTGTTGTTCAACAATGTCCAGAGGGCCAAAGATTCCCCATTCCTACTTAGCAGCCTTAAGGTACCTTTGTCCAACTGAAGGAATCAACTGTTCACAACTCATACGGAGGGGGAGGGAAGCTTTGCTTCTCAACTGAGCCAGCAGACGGCTGCCTCTTCCCTCTGCCTCCTGCCTGCAATTGTTCTGCATGCTACTCTGCTGTTGCTTCAGTCCTGCCTGCTGTTTCCTTATGATTCAGCACACGCACTCCCGGGCTTCCCTTGGTTTGCATCCAGTCTTGTCAGAGCTGATAAATGTTGCAAGTATTTCCGGAGCCTGTGTGGGCGGCTGCTGGGCCTCTCCCTCTGCACTCAAAATAGACTCCATGTACTGGACAGCAGGACTGCCCCAAGAGAGAGTCCTGGAGAGCCAGAGGTTTATCTGGGAGGTGCAGTTGGGTGACCACAGTGAGGGAGGATGCTGGTGGGAGGAAGTGCTGAAGCACCGGCTTCTTCCCTGTGGCTTCTCTCATTATCCCAGTGTGGCCAGAAGAAGTCAAGCCTCAGAAGAGGAGGAAGGGGCTTGAGTGGTGATGCTTAACTAAGTCAGTGGAGAGGGTTCCTTCCTGCTTAATCTTTCATATAGCAAGGAATTCTAGAAACCTGGCAATTGTTAGAGTAGTAGCTAGTTAGTATTTTCTGACTAGGATGGTTGCAGTTCCAACACATACGGACGATAATGGTGGTTGTAAGGAGTTAGCAGAAGATGCTGAATCTACACTGAAGAGACCATGAAGGCAACAAGGGTTCGGCTTGGTAAACAGCCCTGCTCTTTGAGTTCCCAGGGCTCTGTTGCTGCCTGCTTGGGAAATATGTACCCTTAAAGAGCGTCATTTGAAGGGGCCACAACCATGGAATGTAGCTTGGAAGTCAGGCAAATAATGGAGTGTGAGAAAAGAGAAAAGTCCTTGGCCCGGCAGGAATCATAAAAAAACACATGGCTTTCTGTTGCTTTTCCTGCCATAGTTTTGCAAATTAAAGTTCTACAGTCACAACCCTACTTGGGTTCTTGCTTCACTCATGAAACATTCTGGGAAAGGTTTGGCAGACGCAATCCTGAAGTGGAGCCAAAGTTCACAGGCTGCTCTTTGACCTTGTTGTTCCTGGCAGGCTAGTGTCCGAGGGGGGAATGTGCTTGCTGTTGTGGTGGACCAATGCACTCCATTATCTGAATGCTCCTCCACAGATATTTCTATGTACTGTTTCTGTGGGGTCACTTGCCTCTTTGTTATCCAACCCTTGCTTTCTTTCTCTGTTAGAGGGTCTCTCTACATAGGGTCAGAAAGCTGCAGAGAAGTGTTGAGTGCCAGGCCTTTTCCCTGGGGGGAGTGGGTTCTGTTTGCATGGTTGTGTTCTCTTGCAGTAGGACTGTAGGTGCTGATTGATACCCCTGATGGTATTTTTACTTAGGCAGAAAGAATCCAATTGGTCTCACATAACTCTGCCCAGGAAAAGATAGACTCTAGTACAATATTTTCTGCCCCACATTTTCTTGAAACCTACAGGGAGAGGGACTCCACAGCCAGCTAGACAAATGTTTTCCATTGGTGAGAAAAGAAGTGATTCCCGGCTTTTAATTAAAGTCTGTGTGCTTTATCGCACTGGTCAATTAACATGTTCTGATACGGTACATCACCATTATCACTATGTACTGTGCTAGCTCTCAAACTTGACTTGCTGAATGTTGGAAGATTCAGGACAGACATAATTAAGTATTTCTTCACATGGTGTGTGATTAAACGATGGAATTCACTTCCACAAGAGATAATGATGGCCACTAACTTGGATGATGTTAAAAGAGAAATAGACAATTTCATGCCTATGAAATAGACAATTTCATGTCCTCTAGTCACAGTGGCTGTGTTCTACCTCCACTGTTGGAGAAAGGATACTTCTTAATACCACTTTCTGGGAATCACCACAGGGGAGAGGTTTGTTGCATGCATGTTGTGCTTATGTACATCCCATAGGCTTCTAGTGGGCCTCTTCTTTGAGAACAGGATGTTGGGCCACTGGTCTGATCCAGCAACCTGTTCTCATCTATGTGGGGTGTTTGGGTTGCCATCACAAAGCTGACCACCTCCCCTACATATCACCAGTTGCTTTTGAAACTTCTTTCAGTTTACAAAGCAGCTGACAGTCTGGGGAGAAAAGCAAGTCTAAATCCCAGGCCCTTGCTTGGGGGTGGGGCTGCCAGTTACACTTGCCATGGGCCTTGGAGGGCTAAGTTGGCCATGGGGCCGTGCCAGTGACCAGCTGCTTTTTGGTTTGAGGTTATAACTTTATTCCAAGAGGACTCCTGCCCCCAAGCCTCAGACAAGCTCTGCACAGGCCTGCTGAATTCCCTTTCAATGCACTGGGCTAGTTTCCTGGTTGCTGGATCCTGAACATAGCCTGGTGCTCCTCCTTGCCCAGAAAGTGATGGGGAAAGAGGACTAAGCAGGTTCCATCTGGGGACGAACTTGGCTCTCTGCTGCTATGTCTGTCCATGTGAATGTTTGGCCCTTCATTTCCAGGGGTTGGAAGAAGCACTCTGGGCAGCCTGGCGACATCTCCTGGGTTTTCTGCCTTCAATTATTAACAAGCACTTTTTAGGTTTTAAAAACTTGTTCAAATTTTTAACACGTGATGAAACCTTTTGGGTTATATCCAGTTGCATCCCTCTGTTGTCCTTGGTGCCAGGCAATAGAAGGGACACCTCTCCTCTTTCTGGCACCAGGTCTGTGGGCTCTTTGTGTAGGGCTGGCCCTCTCCTAGATGCCTGCCCTGCTCCCCCACCTCCCCATTCAGCTGATGAGTCCTCAGTGTGGAAACAATTGTGCCCTCCTGCAGAGTGAAGTTTGCAAGGAATTCCAGGGAGGCTCCCACTGCAGCATTTAGGCCTGTTGCCCAGTTGGCTGTCTTCAGTCTCATTTTAAGCCACAACAGCTCCAGAGTGCCATAACCTCATTCAGTTCAAGTTGGGTAAACTTTTAATTTTGGACATGTGCGGGAAGGGCAGTGCTGCAGTGCTATTCCACCGGAGGTTGTCACACAGTGTGTGCCTTGAAATGCAGGAGCTGGGAACTTGTGAAGAATCCATCCTGCTTCAGAGCCAAGCACCTCTTGAGCAACAACATTCCCAAGAAGACAATTGGGACTGCTGCACAAGTGGCTCTTCCTCTCCTGCACCTTCTGAGCTGTCCCCCTCTTTCCTTCCTGTCTGTCTGATCCATGTCTGGCTCTTTTCCTCTGTGTGCACATGCTCTTTGGCTCACGTGCCCATTCCCATCAGTGGCACTGTCATCGGCATGCAGATGTGCTCCCTTGCCAGACCCTTGTGCACCAGGCTGCCAAGGCAGGAAGTGTTGGAGGTTTTGTCTTCATTCATAGAGGAAGTGGAGCTTCCGTTCTGCCTCCTGCTCATCTCCACCTTCGCAGGCTGCCACTGCTGTAGTAAAATCTACTCTTGCTCCTTTGCAGACTCCAGGGTGAGGCCCCTGTGCTTTGAGTAAGAGTGACTTGGAAAGCAAGACACTAGGAGCAAGGTGCTCGTCCTCCTAACCAGCCCTCTGGACCTGCTAAGACCCTGTCCTCAATCCCCACCCGAGGCAGCTGCCTTCACCACTGCCTGTCTGTCTCTGCACTTTCTTGCCTGCCTGTACCTCCCACATCCCTTTGCGAGCAAGCAGTGATTCCTATGAATGCTGCAACTTGATAGAGTGGGCAACAAAATGGGGGTGGAAGTGGGCACCTTCACCTGCCTAACCATTCCACCTGCAGGGGGTCAGGACATCCCTACCACCTGTTCAGCAGTCACACCAAGAAGCAGAAGAAGTCCCGGATGGTACCAGCGGAGCAGGGCCAGTGACCTCTCTGCTATACCATTCTCTTTGAGAGAGAATGCCTCAAGGGAGAGAGGCATTACCTGCCATTTCATTTTGACTAGTCAGTGACACTGGCTACCTTGACATCTTGGTGCCTGAGGAAGGAGTTGCAAATGGCACACCCGTGTCTCGATGGAGCTTTGGTCTGTTCCAGGGAGGAAGAGGAGCCCCCTCCGCTTGCTTGTTTATAGTGTGCAGGTCCCGTGCTCTGGCTCTGGGCTGAGAGAGGAGAAGAAAGAGCAGCCTGGCCTCCCTCCCTCTCTCTTTTGTCAGAGGTCTCCGTCTGTGCATAGGAAGCTGTAAGAGATATTTATATAGTATTGCAGAAAACAGGAAGACTGCAAGCTCTGCGCCAGCCGGCCTTACTTGGGCTACAGCTGCTCTCTGGCACTTGGCCCACAGAGGTGGCCTGAGGAGAATGGCCGCAGCTTCTCTTCTGTTTCGAAATGGGGTCACTGGAAAGAAGAGGGGGCAGGCAGAGCCGAAGGAGCAACCTTTGGCAGTGCCACTTTGCGTGGGGAAAGGGCCATAGCATTGTGGTAGAAGAGCATTGGCAACTCCTGCCTGTTGTCAGTGGCACCACTTCTGCCTGGGAAGAGATCCTCGGCCGCAGGAAGGCCGATGAGAGGGAGAACTGGCCAGAGGAGCTGATTCTCTCTGCTCCAAACCTGAGCCAGTATTGGCTTCAGAAGACGGAAGCCCCACAGGGGTGGTTGCTTTCTGGGGAGGGGTAGAAGAGCAGCTGTTAGGTATGCAGAAGGTCCCAGGTTCAATCCCACTAGCAGCATTTCTAGGTGAGGTTAGGAATGTCCTCTGTGTGAAACCCTAGAGAGCCATGGCTGGCTCTCAGTGTATGTATACTTTTTGAGCTAGAGGGACCAAGTGGTCTAATGACTCCATATAAGGCAGGTGGTGTGTTCTGTACCAATCCATAGGCATTGTGCGGTGCCCTTTATTCCTTGTTGTTATTATTTGTTTTATTATTATTTATTAGATGCATATACCGCCCTTCATCAAAAGATCTCAGGGTGGTTCACAATATTCTCCACAGTTGTGCTCCCCACACAACTGAATCACACCCCTTTGCCCTTTCCTGCTCTCCCTTTCCACTCTGCCTTCTGTGTCTGGTCTGACTTGAGTTGCAAGCCTGTGCAGTGCCCATGAGTTGAGGTGGGGGCTGCAGGAAGGACAAGAGAAAGCAGATCCTCCAGAGGCAGCCCTGGAAGCCCCACAGTTCTCAGGGGTTTCTGGGGGTGATGAGGCACCCCTTAGGGCCTCCCTCTGGGGCTGGGCCAGGCCACTTCAGATGGCCAGGAAGGACTGAATGGCTGGACACTCCCGGACAGAAGTAGGCGAACCTGTCAAGATGGGCTTGGCCAGAAAAGGGGCCTTAAATAGAGGGAGATATTGCAGGCTACTTCTAAACATCCAGGGAGGTTCTGGCTCAGAGGGAGCATTGACAGTCTGCTCTCTCAGCCTCTGAAGTGATGCTTCTGCTGCTGGGCTGATTCATGGGAGTCCTCGTGGGCAGCAAATGTGTGAGAGAGAGCCACGTGGCAGTGGTGCCAATGAAGGAGAGAGTAGCCTATATCCTGGCAGCTGCACCAGTTGCAATTTCTGAAAGTCTTCAAAGGCAGCCAGATGTAGGGCTCCTTACACTGGTTTGTCTTTGATGTTACCGGTATGAAAGTAGGAGAGGATTCATCCACCCTTTCTAGATAAGAAGGTGCATGCTATGAGATTTAAAAGTTCTTTTAGAAACTCCCTCTAGCTATATAGGAATAAAGTGTTCAGGTTCAGGGATGGCAGCCAGTCCCAAACCTCAGCCCTTTAGTGCAATAGCACAGTGGAGGACATTTTTAGGCATGGGGGACGGAGGAGCTGCCCCTTTCCTTCCCATAAATTGCATCAAAGTGCTCAAGTAAAGAAATGCTTTTGGGTTGAAAAGACTGAACTTGTAAAATTAAAAGGGAAGCAGGTGCTTGTGGGGTTCTCTTCTTTGGGTGGGCCAGTTGTTTCAGGTCAGCTGCAGCTAGTGTGCTTATTCTGCCTTGCTTGGTTTTGCTTCTTCAAATAATGGCAAGTGACTGGCCCCAGGTCACCCAGGGCCTTGAACCCTGGTCGCCCAGGGCACTTTCACTGCTGTGCCGCATCAGTAGGTTGTTTTTGCCTTCTTTCAAGCTAGCACTTCCAGGCATCCTGAAAGCAGTTGGTGAGGAGGGGTCTCCTCCTCCTGCTGATTCCTTTGGAGCTCTGAGATGGACCCAGGGGTGCCTGTTCCTTACAGACAGAAATATTTTGCTTTTCCTCCAGAGAAGCTCTACAGGTCGAAGGGCCCTGAACTGAGGCGCTCCCTCTTCTCACTGAAGCAGCTTTTCCAGGTAAGGCTCCTGCCAGGCCCGCCCTGTTCTGCCCCCAGCAGGCACGGCTTTGTTGGGGGGGGGGATTGAGCCAGCCAGCCCAGCGCTCTGTGTGGACACCACCAGGCTCTGCTGCTGACTCTTCATTTCCCCTCCTCTTTGCTCTTGTAGCTTCTGCTCTCCTCTTGCGAGACTGAACTGTGCACAGACCTGTTCCCTATATGAGAAGGCAATAAGCAAACAGCCTCCCCCCATGCCCCCTCCCCCAGCAGGAGATTCTCCCAGATTGTGGGCTGCAAGTGGAGGGGTCAGCATGCACAGTACGACCTTTTTCTGCAGATTGCAAACATTCCTCTCTCTGGATTTCTGCTGCAGGAGGATAAGGACCTGGTGCCTGAGTTTGTGAATTCAGAAGGGCTGACGTGTCTCATCACAGTGGGAGCTGAGGCTGACCAGAATTACCAGAACTATATCCTCAGGGGTAAGTGACCACCAGGCCAGCAGGAAGTGGAGAGAGTGTATGAGAGAGAGAGAGAGAGAGAGAGAGAGAGAGAGTGTATGAGAGAGAGAGAGAATCTGAGCCCCTAGAGTGGATAACATTTGGGACCTCCCACCAAAGAGTCAAAGTCGGTGAAATTAAACTGACACCTCCAATTCCCAACTGAACCTCCAGAAAAAGGATAGAGCACCCTAGAGATCTCTGGGAAAAGTCTTTTAAGTGGAGCTCTTTCCCAGTTTTCATCTGTACTGAAATTGTTTTAAATGTGTTTTTTATTATTTTACCCCTTGCTGTTTGCCACCTGGGGCTCCTTGGGGAGGAAGGGTTGAATATACATTTAATAAATAGACAGATGCCGTGGCTTCCCCTTTTTGCGGTCTGCATTTGCCCATGTACAATGTTGATCAGAGGGATGCTGACAGTGAGGACTGTGTGTGACTCTTGTCTCTGACTCTCTGCCTCCCTGATACTTAATCCAGTATGGGGAGCAGACCCAAGGCTGGTGTAGGCAGGCTTTGCAGGACTTATTTCTCCTGTTTGCCTTTAAGCATTCCTATATTTTCCTGCCTGAGCAAAATTTCAGTGGCCAAGTTTAGACTGCTGCTGAGGGATAGTGGCTAGGTGAGGAGATTTGGCTGTACTAGGAAGTTTTTTGTGGTTAGGTTTTTTAATGGTTGATAGCTCCATCTCACTGGCTACTCAGCTGGGGATGTGCAAACAGGCAAAATTCAGCATGTAAAATTTCAGCTGCAATTCATGAGCCGTCTTGGAGTTCACTTTTTCTTTTCTTTTTCTTTTTGTAAAATGATCTTTATTGGTTTTACAGATTTTACAAATTTCACATCGTAATACATAATACATACCTTATTCCTTTTTTAGAGTTAAAGTATTAAGGTTAAAAGTTGAGAGGCCACTTTTTCTTAATGACAGAGCTTTGGGCCCCAATTAAAGGAGATGTTGGTCTCCATGATCATCTCTTTTCTCCTAGGACCATGGCACCAGTGGAGGGAAGGAGCTGAGACCTTTTCTGTCTGCTCCCCACCCCCCTTCTGATGCTATTTCCTCTGATGTCACCCATGTAAAATTACTGTTTGCCCTGCTGTAGGGAAGATGTGACTGTGTGTCTATTTTCCCAAATGGGGCAAGCAGCAGCTGGGGGAAGGTATCAGACTCCCCCCGACATGGCTGGTTTTAAAAGCTTCATTTGGCCCTTAGTCTCAGGGGCTTGTGACTGGAAGGGACCTTTTGTAGACCTGGCAGCCTCTGTGGATCCTTTTGACAAAGAGGACTCTTTTGGAAGTAGCTTAACTTTGCAGCTTGCACCTCAGGGTGGAAACAGCCTGCCCTGGCCTCAGCAGCCTTTTGTGCCAAGTCATTCATGTCAGATGTGCAAATCAATCCATACTCCTGACAGCTAGCCTGCCCTACCCACCTGCCTCCTCTGGGCACTGCCATCTGCTGTGTGGCAATTCCTAGTAGTATTAGTAATAATATTATTGCATTTATTTATATCCCACCTTTTTTCCCTAAACTGGGACTCAAGGCAGCTTACACAAATTAAAATGGCACACATAACATACAAGAAACTAAAAACATAAAAAGAGAATAGTTAAAAAGTAGTTAAAATTCTACAGAATAAAAACAAAAACAAATTTATTAAAAATACAGATAGTAAAAAACAGCACAGCACTATTAAAAGCCACTTCCTTAAAAGAACAGTCAGTTCCCAATGTTGGAATAAAACAGTCTTCACCTGCCGGCTGGTGAAGCAGGGAGCCAGTCTAGCTTTTGTAGGAAGGGAGTTTCAAAGTCTGGGAGCAGCCACCGGGAAGGCCCTCTCCTCACATCACCACCTAGTGTCCCGCTCCCCAGTTGATGTCTGCATTGAGGGGGGGGGGAGAGACATCACCCTGAAAGCCAAAGAGCCAGACTGAGATGGAAGGATCAGAGGAGGGAGCAGAGGAGACTTGCTGCTGAGTGGCAGGCATCATGTGGATGCAAGCGAGTGAGCAAGGCACATCAGTTGCCCATGGCCAGCTGGCATCCTCACAGGGCTCTTCGCTCCTTCCTTCCAGCTCTCAGCCAGATCGTGCTCTTTGTGGATGGGATGATGGGGGTGATAAACCACAACGAGACAGTGCAGTGGCTGTACACGCTGTGCGGGAGCTTGGTGAGTATGTGGCTGCCACAGAGGGAAAGATCCCCTTGTGAGCATCAGAAGAGCCCTGAAGCTGAAGCTGGATCAGGTCAGTGGCCCACCTAGTCCAGCATCCTGTTCTTACCATGGCCAACCAGATGCCCCAATGGGAAGTGCACAAGCAGCAACTGGTATTCAGAGACAGTGGAAGAAGAACGTAGCAATTGTGGCCACAAATTTGTCTATTCCTCCTTTAAAGCCATCCAAGCTGGTAGCTATCACTGCCTCCTGTGGGAGGGAGTTCGGTACAGTGGTACCTCTGGTTAAGAACTTAATTTGTTCCGGAGGTCCGATCTTAACCTGAAACTGTTCTTAACCTGAAGTACCACTTTAGCTAATGGGGCCGCCGCACGATTTCTGTTCTCATCCTGAAGCAAAGTTCTTAACCCGAGGTACTATTTCTGGGGTAGTGGAGTCTGTAACCTGAAGCGTCTGTAACCCAAGGTACCCCTGTAGTTTAATTGTGCCCTGCGTGAATAAGTACTTTCTTTTATCTGTCCTGAATCTTCCAGCATTCAGCTTTGTTGGATGTGCACAAATTCCAGTGTTATGAGAAAGGGAGGTGGGATGGGCTTTGAAAAGGGAGGGTTGTGTGATGTCCTCCTGACTGAGGCCCAGTTTCCAGCTCCTTCCATCTAGCTTTTCTCACCTCCCTTCACAGGAGAAGGTCATGGTCTCAGTGGCAGAGGAACCAATCCCCAGTGGCATCTCAAGGCAAGACGGGAAAGTCTCCAACCTGAAACCCTGGAGAGCTCTGGCTAACAGTCAGCGCAGGGGAGGCCAGGCTGAGTTTGACTGAACAGGATGCTAACTAGATGGGCCACTAGCCTGATTCTGAAGGCTTTTCTTATGAGTAGACCCCAGTAGCCTGGCCCACTATTAAGCAACTTCTGCTGTCCCTCTGCTAGTACCGCCTGGTGGTGAAGACGGCTCTGAAGCTGCTGCTGGTCTTTGTGGAGTTCACGGAATCCAATGCCCAGCTGCTTGTCCAGGCCGTCATAGCAGCAGAGCAGGTCAGAGGTGAGTGTGCCACATGGCTGCCCAGGGAAGAGAGAGAGAGAGATGAGTCTGATCCCATTAGCCTCCAGATTGGGAAGAGCAGTCAGTGAATCACAGCAGGCAGCCCCTTGCTGGGCAAGGTCAGTGATGAGGCGAAAGGAGGGTCTTTTCCTTGGCTTGTGTGGTCAACCACATGCCTTACTCATTGCCTTGCAGGTGGTTTTCCGTGGTCTCCCATCGTGGCAATCCTGGAACAGAAGAATGGAGCTGACACGGAGCTTCAGGTGTTCGCCATGACACTCATCAACAAGGTGAATATTGCCCAGGTGGGGAGGGAAGCAGCAGGTGTCAGGCTGTTTTGCTGGGCTGGGCTGAGCCGAGCTGAGCACCTTTCCTGCCCTGACTATGGTGCCCTGTGTTGGTGTTGTGCAGACCCTGGCTGCCCTCCCTGACCAGGATTCCTTCTATGATGTGACAGACTGCTTGGAGCAGCAGGGCATGGAAAGCATCATCCAGCAGCACATGACCAACAAGGCTACTGACCTGGACTTGAAGCAGCAGCTGGTTATCTACGAGGTGATGCATCTTCCCCCTTGGCGGGAGGGAGCTGGGTATAAAGAGGAGGCCTCTAGAAAAAGCAGGCAGCTTCCCCACTACACACTCAGCACCTAGCAGCCTGCCCTACCAGGCCCCCCTGAGCTTCTGTCTTCCTTGCAGAATGCCCTCAAGTATGAAGATGGTGTGGAAGAGCCTCCCCCTGGAACACGCAAGGAGCGGAGGAAAGGGGAAGAGGGCAGGAAGGGGCAACGACGCTCCCTGGGCTACATCCTGGCCCAGGAGGAGGGCCAAGGGTCTCGACCTGCAGAGAACTTCCAGCCCAGTCCTGCAGAGGCTCCCAGCCTGGACAGAGAGAGCAGCCAAGACAGGTGAGTTGGCCAAGGCAGTTTCTGCTTGTGGCTTTTGCTCTGCTCGGAACTGGTGGGAAAGAAGCTGAGCCAAGGAGGTTGAAAAGGCCCAGCCTAAAGAGTGGGGCAGAACTGGCAAAACTGACATATAAGCGACGGGACAAGGATAGCTGTGACTTTAAGGATGAATGGAAACCCTTTACAAAGTATCTGAAGATGCAACAAAGCGAACTGGACTCCTTGGCAGGTTTTGAATAAACATTCACAAACTTTTTATTGATAATAATTAGCTAAATACTTTGAGGATCTATACAACTGTGTAACATGCAGAAGACAGCATTCTTAGAGAAACCAAAGACTGGAACTGAGGGAAGTCGGGGAGTGGGTGGGTTTTTTTTGGGAGGGAGGGAGGAAAAATGGGGGGGGGACAAGGATGATATGTTTTTGGATAATATATCTTGTTATAATTTTGAATTAAAAAAAAAAGAGTGGGGCAGTTGGCGGAAGTTGGCAGGAGGCAAATCCTCCAGAGGCCACCTTTGCCTGCCTGTGGTGATATCGCCTCAGAACCCCTTACTTGGCCCAGGAGGCCCTGTTCCAGGGAGCTGCCTCAGAAGAACTAGAAAGTCTTGATGGGCCCCCATTGGAGCCTTGTGTGCTCACAGCCCTCCACCTGCTCTTCCCCCTCTCCCTTTTCCAGGCCTGCCTTCAAGAGCATGTACAGCAGCGCATCCAGCGTCCAGCTTTCCACACCATCCGTTCCTGTGGAAGGAGAGCAGAGTGGCAGCCTGGGCGAGAGGAGCATTTTCAAGTAGGTCTCTCTGGCCAAAGGGGGCACAAGATCTCTCCCTGCTCAGAGCTGCCAGAGGGACTGAGCTTAGTATATAGGGCTGGGGGGCAGGTCAGGAGATATGGGGGAATATGTTGACCGTACTGGGGAGATTCAGGAGCCCTCCAGAAGCTCCAGGGGAGATGGGTTTGACTCTCCCCATTCTCTTCTTTCCTGGCCAGCAGTTCTGAGGAGGCAGCTGTGGCAAGGAGGTGTCCAGTTAGCAATGGTGGATGGGGAGGAGGTGGCAGCCCCTGCTGTCCACTAAGGCAGCTCCCCTTCCAAAGGGGCTTTTTCATGTCCTGCAGGGTAGGGTGGGGTGCAGAGTGGCAGTGAAAAATGCAGCAGGAGCCTTAGAAGAGGAGGGGGCCTGTGGTGGTGGTTGAAAGAATCTGGCGGCTCTGTTGCAATTCACCCAAAGTGAATGGAGTTTATAGTCAAATACTTTCCCCCCTCCTTTCTAAGGTGGTCTAACCTTGAGATGGGCTTCTCCCCACATGATGGAGGGCCCTGCTGTAGATGGGGGGGTGCAGGGGGGATTCAGATCACGGGTGGATTAGAGGGTGGCAGGTTTTTCTGTGGGTGGGGGTAAGGGCCTGCTGGGCTGGGAGAGGCAGTCATCCTTGTTTCACAAGTTGGACATTGAAGCAAGCTGCTCCTGGAGAGTCCCTTTTCTCACTTCTTCTCTCCTCTTATTGTGCCTCACCTCCTTCTGCTCCTGGCCCAGCCCACCGCCCCTCTTCTTTTTCTTCTTCTGCCACCTACTTCTCTCGCGTGCTCTCCTGCTTAAACTCCCTTTCCTTTTCCAGACTTCACGAAACTTCCCCTGCTTGGTAAGTGATGCCACAGATGTATCTTGTGTGTGTGTTTGTGTGTGTGGTGCTCTTGGCCCTGTGGTTTCCTTTCCTCTGCTGTTCATAGCTTTGAATTATTGAATGAGGGATCTGTTTGCAGGCTTGGGGCTTCTGGCATGTGGTTTGGGCTCCTCTGCCTTTGTGCTTCTCCAGCGACTTCTGGGTCTGGATCATGCTGGATTGCCTTTGACACAACAGAGGAGGGGAGTATGCTGGGGTGAAGGGCCAAGGGTCTCAGCTGAGCTGAGGCGCCAGCAAAGAGGGGACACAATCCTGGACCAGTTTACAGAGTCAAGAGTGTGGCAACAGCCCCGTGTTGTGCTTCTGAACAGCTGCAGTGTTTCCACTTGTGGTTGTGTGGCTGGCATCTGCTTGGGGCTCCAGGAGTAGACCTTGGTGCATGCGTGAGCAGCCCTTTCGTCCAGACTTGGAACTCCAAAATGAGTGGCTGCGGGGAAGTGAGGTGGGATTTCAGCTGGACAGGAGGAGTGAGTCCACCCCCAGATTGCATGGACCTCTCTGCTTTGGAGCTGGTGTAGCCTTGGCAGACCTTGTGGGCATGCAGAGTGTGGTTCCTGTGCCCAGTGGCACTAACTGACTTTTTCTCCCAGGCAAGAGGAAAGCCCCTCAGTATGTGGGGACAAGCCTATTCTGAGGCGCTTTGAGTAAGTACAGAGAACATGTGTGCTTCATCAGGCTTAGGCTGGTGCTGGAGGTCTCGCTTTGGTTTCAGGCCCAGGAATTTGTTGATCCTTGTTGAGTTCCTCAGGCAAAGAATCCTCCTGAATCTCTGCAGTGGCCTCAAAAGTGCCTGGTGGATGGAAGCCAATACTCTTGGGCAGCCTTGGCCCCCTGCCACTGATAGAAGGTCCTTCCTGGCCCACTGGAGGCAGTTCATCCAGCAAGCTGCATTTGGGCCTCTTCTAGACCCACCATCCCAGCTGCCATGTTTCCTCATACAGGGCAGCATTGATGTCAAGACCACCCAGTAGCCAATCCAGGTTACCTAGCAGAGGAGGTGAAGCTGAGAAGCAGCAGTGACTTGCCAAGGGACCCCCAGTGAATTACAGGGCTGAGTGGGACTTGAGCTGCTGTGTGCCACCCATCCACTCTCTCTTCCATCTGCTGCACTGTCCTGGTCCATGCTGGCCTTCTGGTGCCCACAGGAGAGGGCAGGGAGCAGGATTCGGGGCTGGCTGAGGTGCCATACTTTCTTGACATCCCTTTCCCACCTTATAGGCTGCTGGGTTCTGTATGAGATGGGGCCCTGGACCAGTTGGAGTGTGGCTGTCCTGGAGCAGTCCTGTGTTGAGGAAAACTGCAGGAGCTTGGGAGAAAAGACTGGAGGAGGGTCTGCGCAGTTGTCTTTGCTGATGCTATTGAGGATCTCAGCCTGTACCTCTTTAAACAGGCGCCGAGAGAGCTTTGGGCCTCAGAGGAACCACCACTGATGGGTGTTAGCATTTGTGCCAAGTGCTGGACCTCCTGTGTGTTGCAGTGTCTGATAGATTGGCTCTACCAGTCTCTGGGGGGGACAGCTGTTGGGTGGGATGAGCCTCATCCTGATTGCTGTGTGGTGATGGAACATTGTGTCCCTGGTGCTGAATGATGTAGCATTTTGCTTCTCTCATAGAGCACGCTTCCTGGAAAATCTTGCTGCTTCCCAGAAAGAGAAGTTGGTTGCAATCTCCAAGGGGCGAGCCGAGGTCCTTGCTGAAGCTACTCCCAGCACTGAGCAGCTCTCCCCAGGTAATGCAGCAAAAGAGCCGGCAGTGTTGGCTACAGTCCCTGCTTTGGCCAAAGGTTTGTTGCTGAGGCTTCTCCTTTTCTGTGCTGCTTGTCAGCTGCCTAGCCTGTCTCCTTTCCTAGTTAACTCTTCCTCTGTGCCCTTAGGGAGGTGGCGTGAAGGACAGGAGAGAAACGGTGATGGAACAGAGCTCAGCTCTGCATTGGCCTTGGCTGGCTTTGAAGGCGAAGAGGCCAGGGAGAGCCTGCCAGGCGAGGGGCCCTCCAGCAGCAGCCCTGGGCTGGGTCCCAATTGCACCCCAAGCCCAGAAAGCCCAGTTCCGCTGTGTGATGGAGAAGATCCCCGCAGCCACCCTGTGCCTGGAAAGAAGCTCAACCTTGACACACTGTTCTCCAATAACAGCCCTGCAAGGCTGGAAGGTGTGATTCTTGCCCCAGCAGAAGAGTTCCAGGCAGACGCCGGGAGTGAAGAAGGCAGCCCACAGAGCAATGGGAAACAGGGCAGCCCCTCCAACCTGCAGGCCCGGCCATTGCGGGCTCAGTTCAGCCTTGAGGCAGAAGCCAGCCTGCAGAGCCTGGAGAGGACTTTCATGACTCCCTACAGGAAGGGAGCAGAGGTGATGCGAGGGCCCCTGGAGCTCAGCCCCAAGCACCTGAAGATCAGAGATTTGGACTTCTCTGACCTGGGTGAGGAGGAAGACTTTGATATCCTAGAAACAGAGACTGTGCCTGACCATGTGGTTGTGGCTGCCAGTGGGGCTCCGGCCCCTCCACCCCTCCCTCCCAGCTGCCCTCCACCCCCACCAGGCTGTGCCTTTCCCCCTCCCCCTCCCCCACCCCCACCAGGCTGTGCCTTTCCCCCACCTCCTCCACCCCCACCAGGCTGTCCTCCTCCAGGCTTGGTGGGCTCCTCCAGGGAAGATGCCCACTCCCCAGCAAAGAAGAAGAAAACTATTAAGCTCTTCTGGAGGGAGCTAAAGAACGTGGACAGCTCTGCCAGGCGGGAAGGAAGAGGAGACCCCTTTGGGCCAGCCACTCTGTGGGCATCTCTGGAGAAGGTGGAGGTCGACACCACCAAGATGGAACATCTCTTTGAGTCCAAGACGAAGGAGGTGCTGAGCTCGAAGGTAGGTTGGGGCTCCTTAGTGTTGGCTACAGGAGGGAGCCCTGAGCTTGGGCTGTGGGGTTCTTGCAGGAGGCTTTGCCCATGCTTTCTAGTGGGGTTGTGGAAAGGGAATGCAGAGCATTTTTAATAGACTTATTTTTAAATAAGTGTGCCAGAGGCTCAAAGCAGAGGAGCCCAAGGAGCAGCCTTGCCCTGACTCTTGGCCTGGTCTGACAGCAGCTTCCCTAGGGCTCTGGAAGCTCCCTTGACCTGCTCCCTGGAGGTGCCAAGAACTGATCCAGGGACTTTGGGCTCTGCCCTTGAGCTTCTCTCTGACTTCCAGTCTCCTCTATTCAGTGCTGCTCTTCCTTATCACTGCCCCTTCGACCCTCTTGCCTTCAAGGACTTCTAGCCCATGTGATTTCTTCTTCCATCTTGAATGTGCCTGGAGCAAGCTGCGCTGTCAGGGCCTAGCCAGCAGAGCCTCAGGCAGAGACTGTTCTTGTCAGTCAAAGAGAAGAAGCTTTGTCCTTTGCAGGCAGAGACCAGCCACTATCTTGCTCTGGGGTCCTCTGCCTGTCCTGCCCAGTCATGATACTTGCGGGTTGACATTGGGTCCAGGTCTCACCTGCTGGTTTACGCTACCTTGCAGGAGAGTTGTGGGGCTGAAAGAGGAGAACCTCCAAAGATGGGGTGATAGTATGACAGACAAAAACATCAACCCTTCCCTTCTTTCACTCCCAAGAAAGCTGTTGATGGGAAGAAGCTAATTGTGGTCTTGGATCCCAAGAGGAGCAATGCCATCAACATCGGCTTGACAGCGCTGCCTCCCGTACACATCATCAAGACGGCAATTGTCAACTTCGATGAATTTGCAATTAACAAGGAAGGGATTGAGGTGAGAATTCTGTGTCTCCTGAGAACCCTTGACCATAAAGAGGCCTTCTGGACTACAACTTGCATCAGTCCCAGCTTCATTCGCTCATGCTGACTGGGACTGATGGGACTTGTGCTCCAGAGCATCTGCATGGCACCCGGTTTGGGATAGCTGCCATGAAGGGCCAGGTGGAGTCATTGTGTCCTGACCCAACACCCTCTTCCCTCTTGTTTTGCAGAAAATCTTGACTATGGTTCCAACTGAGGAGGAGAAGCAGAAGATCCAGGAAGCACAGATGGCCAATCCCGATGTGCCTCTGGGTTCAGCTGAGCAGTTCCTCCTCGCTCTCTCCTCCATCACTGAGCTCACTGCCCGGCTTCAGCTGTGGGCTTTCAAGCTGGACTATGAGGCCATGGAGCAGGTACACCCCTGCTCAGGATACTGCAGAACCTCTGAAATTGGGGGTAGCGCAGGTGGATCCCTCCCCGAGTGCTCTAGCCAGTCCTCCCCGTAAATTTGGCTGGACCTTCTTGCTGGGCTTAAAGGCAAGGGGGCCATCGCTGGTGAACCAACCTGCAAGGGAACCGACTGGCTTGGCGAGTGGCTGCTGTGACTGGTCTGGCCACATGGCAAATGGTTCCAGGTGTCACTCAGCTGCCCTTTGCTTCCTCCTGCTGCTGAATCCATCCATTGCTTTTGGGTCCTAAGCAAGAACCTGTGTATCTGGGCCAGCAACTTGCTTGCTCCCTCCAATTTCTGGGCGCAAACAGGTCCTTACAGCTTGTCTTCTGTGTTACTGTGCAGGAAATTGCAGAGCCGCTTTTTGATCTGAAACTTGGGATGCAGCAACTGGCCAAAAACCAAACCTTCAAGTGTATCCTTGCCACCCTCCTGGCCATGGGCAACTTCCTGAATGGATCCCAGGTGAGGCATGTAATGAGGGCGGGGGCAGGGGCTGAGCTCAGGAGCCAGCACCAAGCAGCTCTGAGCATAAGCTGAGCACCGTTTCCTTCAGCAGGTGGTCAGACATCTGGGATTGGAGCCTGAGTTTTTTTGTTCACAGGGCCTGCCCAGATTTTTTTCTTGCCTTTCATGGACCCTCTTAATGTCTACTGTGATCACAGGAAGCTGCCTTCTGTCAGGTCAGGCACTTTGCCTGCATCGCCCTGGAGTTCACTCTGGCAGTGACTCTCAGACAGAGCCAGGTCTTTCTCCTCAGTTGCACCCAGACCCTCTTCCAAACTGCAGGCACTGGGACCCTCCACCTGCCAGTGGACGTGCTGTGGGGGCAGGCGATCCTGCACCTGGAAGCTGGGGCTCTTTTGCAGGCATGCAGTGACTCTTCAGTGTCACACACAAGGCCTGTTGGCTGGCAGCTCTTGCCATCCCCATTGCGTGTGCATCTGTGTCATGCACAAAGGCCTGTCTCAGGGCACATTGTGCAGGGAAGGTGGGAGGTAGGGCAGACTTTTAGGGCTGGTAGTGGCGACGGCACCTTCCTTTGGTGCAAGTAGCAGCTGCCAGGTGTCTGTCACGCTGCTGCAAAGAGAACAGGCGAGGAGCTCTCTTCCTGGGCTCTGCTTCTTCCTGAAACCTGGTGCATCATCTTAAATTCCAATTTTTGGGTTTTCAGAGCCAAGGGTTTGAGCTGAGCTACCTGGCCAAGGTATCAGAGGTGAAGGACACAGTGCACCGACAGACCCTGCTCCACCACCTGTGCCACTTCGTGGTGGAGAAGTTCCCGGACACGACGGACCTCTACTCAGAGATCGCTGCTATCACTCGCTCAGCCAAGGTTAGGGGTGGGTGGGGGGCTTCTCCTCTCCTGCTTCTGGGAGGATTTGCTCTGAGAGCCACATCCTGGGCCAAACTCCTGTGTGCAGAATTGATTTGTGTTTGATTTATTCAGCTTGTATATCACTTGAGCCCTTTTCTCAGACATATATATATATATATATATATATATATATATATATATATATATATATCTCCATCCTAGTAGGAAGATGTTAAATAATGCACAGTATCGTTTCAATAGCAATTATTAAACCACAGAACAAAACCCAGACTGAGTAAGAAGGAAGTTGACATTCTGAACCATGTGTACAGGACAGCAACCAAGACGATAAAGAGTCTGGAAACCAAGCTTTATATATATGAGGAGTGGCTGAGGGAGCTTGGTATGTTTAGCCTAGAGAAGAGAAGGCAGAGAGGTGGTAGGACAGCTGTCTTCAAATATCTGAAGGGCTGTCACATGGAAGGTGGAGCAAGCTTATATTCTCCTCCTCCAAGGCGTAGGACCCAAACCAATGAATCATAGAATCATAGAGTTGGAATAGACCACAAGGGCCATCGAGTCCAACCCCCTGCCAAGCAGGAAACACCATCAGAGCACTCCTGACATATGGTTGTCAAGCCTCTGCTTAAAGACCTCCAAAGAAGGAGACTCCACCACACTCCTTGGCAGCAAATTCCACTGTCGAACAGCTCTTACTGTCAGGAAGTTCTTCCTAATGTTTAGGTGGAATCTTCTTTCTTGTAGTTTGGATCCATTGCTCCGTGTCCGCTTCTCTGGAGCAGCAGAAAACAACCTTTCTCCCTCCTAAATGGATTCAAATGACAAGAAAGGAGATTCTGACTAAGCATTAGGAAAACTTTCTGAAAGCAAGAGCTGCTCACCAGTGGAACAGACTTCCTTGGATGGTGGTGGGCCCTCTTCACTGGAGGTTTTTTAACAGAGGTTGGATTTTCATCTGTTAGGGAGGCTTTAACTGCGATTCCTGCATTGCAGGGAGTTGGACTTAGATGACCATTGGGATCCCTTCCAAAACTACCAATTTTATGATTCTATGAACTCTTTAACAATATCATGATTAAAGCTGCCCATATTAAAAAGTTTTTACCTGCTGCAAAAAGGATAGTCCATTTGGCTCCCATGAGGAGCATTCTGCAGAGAGAAAGGGGGCTGTTGGCAAGAATTGCAAAAAGGCCTTGATATTTCCCTCCAGGTGGACTTTGATGCGCTGGCAGAAAGCCTCCTGCAGCTGGAGCGACGGTGCAGAGTGTCCTGGGAGAGCCTGAAGGCCATCACAAAGCACGACACCAAGCCGGCCCTAAAGAGCAAACTGATGGACTTCCTTCACTCCAGCACCCAGAAGATCGTCATCCTCAAGGTGGTCCACCGACGCATGTTAAACAGGTCTGTGTTAAACAGGGGAGAGGCCTTTGGGCATCTGGCTTCCCACTAGGTGCCCTGGGTGGCCATTGTGAGGGCAAGGGTCCTGGCCGGCTGGGCATCTGTTTTGTTCTTGTGGCCTTTCTGGAGGTGTCGTTTTAGAGGTGTCCTTTTACTGATTACTCTGTTGATGTAGCTTGATGTTCGGTTTGTTGCTCTTGCTCAGAGAAGAGCAAGTGAGTGACAAAGGTTATAAATAAATGAATGCCCTGGGCAGGAAGGAGGGAGAGGATGGTGATGCCAGTCAGTTTCCTGCAGTTCAGCCTCTGCCCGCAGGTTCCGCTCCTTTCTGCTGTACTTGGGCTATGATCTACGCTTGGCACAGGAGGCAAAGGTCACGGGGTTCTGCCGGACCCTGCGGGAGTTTGCCCTGGAGTACCGCACCTGCCGGGAGCGAGTTCTGCAGCAGCAGAAGAAACGGGCAGTATATCGCGAAAGGAACAAGACCCGCGGCAGGATGATCACCGAGGCAAGTTCTTCCCGCCCCACCTAGCCCTTGCCTCACCTGTCCAGTGGAAACTTCCATTACGTGAAGAGGCTTCCTAAGCCCTCTTGTGTCCTTGCAAGAGCAGCTCCTGTGACAACATCTGTGTTGTTGCCTCCACAGCTGGCAGCAGGTGGTGTGCCCCCCTGCCTTTCCTCAATGCAGCGTTCTTTCTCTCATTGTAGATGGAGAGGTTTGCTACCGCCAGCAAGCCCGAAGACAGTCCCGCCCCCGCTGTGCTCTCGGCCAGCCCCGAACAGAAGGACGAAGCTGGCCACAAAAGCATGGCCACAGTGCTTATGTCCACTCCAGAGCCATCTGGCCGCCGCTCCCGAGCCAGCAGAGGTAGGGAGGTGGGGAGATGTGTCTGTCTCCAGGTAGGGTCAGTCTCCTTTCCCACCCTCATTCAGCTTCTTGGCCACTCCAGAGCCCCTCTCCCTGGGGGTCTCCCCAAGCCACCAGCTTCCTAGCCGCTGCCTGACCTTTACAGCTTTGTGTTCTCACTTACAGTGGTGGTTTGATAATTACAGTTGTTGCTGGAGTGGTTAAGAAACTGGATCCTGACACAATGGATGGACAGTTCCCAGGTGCAGGCACTGGGTTGTGTCCCAGCTCTGAATGAGGTTGTGGTGCGTTGCTTGAGGGTGCTGTTAGATCCATCACCATTACTAAAGGCCCGGGTGAGCGCAGTGGATCAGAGTACCCAGAACCAACTTTGCCAGGGGTGCCAACTATTATCATTCCTGGACAGGGATAGCCTTGCCCTTTGCAGCCTCATGATCAGACTACTTTAATGTGGGGCTGCCCTTGTGCCTGATCCAGAAGCTGCAACTGGTGCAAAATGCAGCCGCTTTGGGTGCTTGGCGGGAGACCCAGCTTTACACATATGACCCCAAAGCAGAAAGATCAGCACTTTTGGCTACTGAACCCAAGTACAAAGGTTTGTTATTTACATTTAAAACCTGGGGGCAGCTTCCCTACCAGGTGGACACCCCCAGTGCAGGCCAGGCTGCCCTTTCAAGGAGCCCCTGCTGGTCAGCCTGCAGCTGGCAGGCTGTCTTTTGGTAACCATGCAGGTCTTTCTGTGATCAAGTCCAAAGTGGGAGGGAGCCTGCCTCTCAGGAGCTGGTTTTCACGGCAGCCTCCTCTGTTCTAGGTTTTGGGAAGATCAGCCCCGCCAGCGTGACCCCTCCTGAGGACGATGCCTCTGGCTCTCCTGAGGATGCCTCTGAAGAAATCATGGACCGCCTGGTGAAGTCTGTCACCCAGAGCACTCCTCCCCGGCCAGGTGCAGGGAAGGAGCGCAAGCGCTCACGTGGGAACCGGAAATCCCGTAAGCACAGAGCTTCTTTTATCGCCCCTTCACAGAGTGCAGCCATGTGTCTGTTTGTGTATGTGTATTCATTTGTGTGTGTTGAGCATGCTTGGATCTCCATGCCAGGCAACCCAAATTCAAGACTGGCAGAGAAGAGTGACATTGCTTGTGCCAATTGGCCAAGGGGGCATCATTTATGAGTTCAAACTTTGTTCCCGTTTCTTTTTCCCTTTTGCATCATTTCCTCTGTTTTTTGCCAATCAAGGGGCAGGAGTGAGAGCCATGAAGGGACTGTCCCACATTCCACTATATCTTCATTTGTTTCTCATTTGTTTTCTTACATTTATATCCCCCCTTTGCACCCAGGGGGCTGTGGTGGTACCAGCTTTGGCCTTGTTTTGGGATTGGGAGCTCCTGCCCCGTGGCTGTTAGGATGGGGGAATCCTAGGCTGCCTGTGTTAGAATATCCCTGCTTACCTGGACTTCCTTGATCCCTTTGTGCTTCTTCTCAGTGAGGCGCACCCTGAAGAACGGCCTCAGCGACGAACTTGTCCAGGCTTTGGGCCTGGCGCAGGCGGCTGGAGTAGCTGTGTGATGGCGAAGAGGGCCCATGGCCTTGGAGGAGATTCTGAGGTAGAGCAGACTGCCCATCGGCTGGAGGAAGCTGGGGCTGGCCACTGCTTGTGTGTCCAGCAGAGCCCTGTGATACCTGCACAGTTCTACGTGAGAGATGCTCATCACCAGATTTGCCTCGAGTGGAACCTTGCCAGCGTGTTTAGCTTTTGTCACTCCCTGAAGCCAGCCCCCTCACCTTCCCCGGACTGTGGTGCAGCTGGGGGGGGCAGTGCTGGCCATGCTGTGCAAAGACTTTCCCAGAGTGTGGGGGAGGGACCCCACCTGCCTAGAAAAGTATTATATATATATTGTGTGTGTGTGTGTGTGTGTGTGTGTGTGTGTGTGTGTGTGTGTTGTGTTTAGACTGTTTCCGTCCAGTTCCTGATTGAGGGGCATGGCTCAGGAACGAGAGAGTTGGCTACCTGGCTGCTGGGAGCCAGCTGGCTCCAAATCAATTAGCCTCTCTCTCTCCTGGGACTTCTCCTACTTAGCAGGTCAAATAGTCCACAGCCCTTCTGCAAGCCTGGCCGCTCCTGACTGTGAGATGGAGCCAACTCCCTGGGCAGCCCTGAGCCCAGTGAGCCTTGGGACAAGCTCTTCCTGATGCCCCCCCCCTGCAAAGACAGGCTCTGCTGGCCTGTGTTTGTCTGCAGCAGAGTCGCTCGCATCCCCTGTGTGATAAACTCCCAGCAGTCCCAACGCGAGGGTCCGTTCTGGGCAGCCGGAGAGCTAAGTGAGCAGAGGGGACATTTGGGCACCTCCCGCTGCCATCCAGGTACAATCCTGAACAAGGGTTTATAAAGCTGGCAGCCAGCTTCCCTGTTGCATAGAGCTCCTAATCAGTGGTTGGCTGGTGTTCAAATGAATAATGAGAAATAAAGGCTGTTACAATTCAGGCTGATGTTAGCGTGGCAAAGTTACTTTCTTTGTAATATTTCTGCGCTGGTATACAGAGGCTGTTCTTAAGTCAGTAAACTGAACAAAAGGCAATAACCTTTCCTTCATTAGCTAAGCATTATTGTTTCTGAAAGCTTTCCTTATAATGATGGGAAACATGGTGGGAAGTGGAAGGTCCCCTTTGGAATGAAGCCCCAGAGCATGGAGGTCTTACAGCAGAGTGTTGGAGGCCCCCTGAGGTGGCATTTCCAGAGCTCTCTAGTGGAGTCTGAGAAAAGGGTCCCCAGGGACCGGAGCCACCTGCTCTTCCTAGGGCTGCCTGCAGGTGGCAACAAAGCCCCAGAGCTGACTGCCTTGGGTGACTGTCCTGCCAGATCGCCACCACATTTGGCTTGAGCCAAACATCTGTGTGACTTTCAGAGGGTAATTACAAGGTGAGGATATTCCTAACAGGGAGTGGGCCTTTCCACATCTGTATTAAAACCCAGTACAGTCTGGCATAAAACCTTTTTGGCATCAGCTGATGAAGGGGACCATGAAAATCCCCACCCCCAAATTCTTTTTTTGCTAATCTCATCAAAGCTACCTGCACTAAAATTCTAAAATGAAGCAAAAACAAAACTGGATAATGCTAAATAGCAATGATATTTTAGTAATTTTACTATTTATATGTCACCGGTGGTGCTGGGCAACCAGACCCCTCTTGCTCCACGATGGGCTTTTCTGAAGGGGCTGAAGCCAACCATCTATCTTTCGCACATAATGGGACACTTGGCGTTCCACGGATCCTTGAAGCCAAAGGAAGCCTGCTCAGCCCTGCTTGGGCTGCATCCGCACCTCCTCGCTCTTCCCTGTGTATGTTTTTTAAAAGAAGTGTTTTGTGCTCCCGTGGTTCACTCTGCCATGTGTTGAAGCGCCTGCCTGCTTTGGCTCCAATCCTGTTGGCACTCAGACACCACAGTTTGCTATTAGGATGAAGAGGATGGTGACTGTAAAACTGGTAGCTGGCTTGGGTACTTAAATCCAATTTAACAGAGTGAGTAACAATAGCTTCTTGATGAATGGAAGTTTCCGATACTTTGGAAGTTGCCGTCCTGGGCTGATTCCCGGGAAAGCCTGCCAGAGAGGATCCCTCATGCCCAGTGATGAGGCTCATGATTCACGAAGGAGATTGCTATGTAGAAATTGATTGACAAGAGGAAAAGCTAGTCTCCCTCTGCCACCTTTGGATGTGGCTCTGAAGCTGCTGCTGCCACCTTCTGAGTGTTGGGTGTGCCCTCCCTCCTCCACACACTGCAGGGAAAGAATAGAGAGGGCACCACCTTGGCTGTGGGCAGCATGGCGGAGAGCCAGAGCTGGCCTAAGCAGCCCCGACAGACAAATTGGGAGCCCCCAGGAGAAGCCTTTGTTGTCTTTCAATGCTGGTGTTCAGCTTTGGGTTCTCCCTCTGCGTCACTGAGCCTATCCCCTTGATCGTTCCACCCTCAAAATCTTGCTGCCTCGAGCGACGGTTTCACCTCTTGCACCATAATGCATGCCTAGGGGGGTGCCACTGCTGCTCCCCCAGCAAGTCAGCAGTAAGACACAGGCACTGGGGTAGGATGTTCTGGGAAAGGAGGAAGAAAACAGAGAAGCTTGAGCATGGGGTGTGTGGAGCCTGAGGTGTCCTGTGCTGTTGAGGGCTTTACTAGGGACACACAGGGGAGTTATGACCCCCCCTCCACAAAGCAGCAAAGCAGGAAGGGGGACCAGGAATGGCAAGGATGTCTCCTCGCCCACCTGCTTGACAGCTGCTCCCTGCCCTGGAGGAGCTGCAGCCAGACGGGCTGGGGAGGGGTCTCTGGGGGAGAGTGGGGGCCAGTTCAGGCTCTGGCACTCCTAGGCAGGTGGTATGAAGGAGGAGCTGGAGCAAAAACAAAGGGGGAGGAAGACCCCGTCTGGTGGGGGTGCAGTTCCTCCAACAAAAGTAACTCTTCTATCATCTGGCCCCCAACCAGAGAGAGCCTGCTGCTCCTCTGAGACCGATGGGAGGTTTTATCATGTTTTTATGCCACACTGAATCTTCCTTTAGTTGATTGCTTTTTTTGCAGCAGACAGCGAACGCAGGATGAGCAGACAAGAGAAGAAGGACAAGGGGCCCTCTCTCCTGTTCCTTGTCTTCAACTGGCACCTGCTCCCCGAGCCGAGCTCTTGGGCTTATGCTGTTCTTTTCGTCGCATTTATTGAATTCATTCTCAGTGTTCTACCAAAGGCTCAGAACTGGAGCTGTCATCTGATTCAAGAAATATCGTTAGTTAATCTTATGATCTTTGTGCATTATTACATTTGTATAAATAAAACCAAGCATTCTAACAGTACATTTCCCAGTTGCCTAAGATCCAGCATGTCTTACGGACAGGTTTCCAAGGTTCTGGCACAGGTCACATGCCCATATGACATCAATCATTCGAGCCCCCACCCCGATGAAGCAGCCCACTCTTCAACTTGCCTGGCCAAATAAGCCACTTCAAAGAAACAAATTAATCAGGAGCTTCCATGACTCTCAAAGCAAATGACAGCTTAAGGCTGGAACCTTCTCATGCAGAGAGAATAAAAATGTTGTTGCAGGAGAAACCTAGTGAGCGAGAGAGGCTGGGTTATGTCAGCCCATATAGCCAGGAGCAGGAACACAGAGAGAGGAGCTCACAACAACCCTGCAGTGTGGCCCTCTGTTGTTATCTGTTGCTGTTTTTTTTAAGGGGAAAACGGCTGAGGGGCTGTTAAGTAGCTTGTTGGTGAAACATGGGGAGAGCCATTCAGCTGGGTGGGTGGGTGGGTGTTTGCTGGTATGAACATTTTATTTTGCCTTTGTTTTTCAGCAATTTTTTGTTGCAATCTCTTTCCAAAGTACAAATAAAGCAAAATCATTTCAAGTTCCGCACCTCAAATATATGAGATGATGTACAAACAGAGCCAAACATACAAACCACAAGCTAAATACATGCAAATAAAACTCAAAATTGCCAAACCAACAAAAATAGCAAATATACTAATGGCAACAGCAGGTGCGAGGGTTTCAGCAGGAATGATCTCGGGGATAAAAAGTCATTAGGGAGGCAGTTCAGGTGAGCACCTGTTCTCTGTATAGTAGGAACGCCATGAGTGAGTATGTTCGTGCCAAAGGCTCAAATCCGTTATGCTCAAAAAAGGAAAAGGGCGGTTCTTTGACCCATGCTGATAACATGGCAATAGTTATTATATAACTTCAGGCGCCAGGCGAAAACCTTTATAACCAGGCCTTCCTTGGGCTGATTAAACATTCTGTGACCTTTTATATGTGCTTGTAGGAGGACGGGTGATTATTATGTATTTTGTGTTTCCATTTTGTATTTTTCATGTTGTGAACTGTCCTGTGACCTTTGGATGATAATAGGTATAACAAAATAGGTACCCCAAAAGCTATTTTGAGCAATTAATTTATTCATTTGTGGGTGTTTGGAGCTTGTCAAGCTCTTTCCCCTCAGCATCCCAGTCCCAAGTCCCACAGGTAGCCTTGCGCTCAGTGGAGAATTGCCAGCCTAACATCAGCTGCTGAGAGAGCTCCAGGAACAGAAGAGTTTGGCAATTCCTGAAGCTTGAGTTCCTTGCCTGGTTCAGGGTTCGCCTTCAAGGAGAGCAGGATTCCTGTGCCATTGGCAGTTGGTGGCTTGCAGAAATTCAACAAGTTAACCCTTTTCTTTATGGAAACATGGTTATGGGGAAAGCTTCAGCTGTGGACATTCTGTCTGTCAGGCATTTTAATACTCATGGGTGGCTCTTGACTTGTGTTTTCCCAACCCTACCTCAAAAAAATCCAAACAGGTATCAAAGGTCGCCTGACCTGGTCATAGTACCCTCTACAGTGCTGATTCTACTTCTAAATGTCCATTCATACATCTAAATTAGCCTATGCAAATTGTATGTATTACGGGTGCAGCAGAGGGAACAATCCTCATGCAAAGTACTGTGCTTAAAAAATATTGTCTGCCTCCCCCCCCCAAAAAAAATCCATGGAACAGGAATCCTATGAGCATACTTTTGCTCCATCAAAATGAGATGGAATCTCATTTCTCCTAGTTGGCGTCTCAAACCAGCTAAGCAGGGAAATGACATTAGCTTCTCCTTATTGACCACTCAGTTGACTGGGAAGTTTATTCTTCTCAGGGAGAGGCAAGATACCAAACTCATTTTTTTTGGGGGGGGGTATTGATGAAGTCTAGGAGGAATTGTGAAAAGGGGACCCTGTGCCAAGCATCCCTGCCCATCCCCTTGCTGAATGGCTTTGTAGCCACTAGTTCTTCGTTGCTGGTGACCAAAGCTTTATTTACTATCATAATGGCTAGAAGCTTGACTTTAAGTGGAACTGTCTCCCTCCGGAGGTTGTGGACACTCCTTCCTTGAAGGTTTTTAAGCAGAGGTTGGATGGCCATCTGTCATGCTTCAGCTGAGATTCCTCCTGCATTGCAGGAGGTTGGAAGATTAGCCTTGGTGTCCCTTCCAGTTCTATGGTTCTAAGTGGAGATTCACTAGAACAGTCCTACTCAAAGCACTGGTCCATGGGCCTGTGTCAGACCAAAAACCAACAGTTGCTGGTCCACGGCAACTCCACCACATCCCAGGTTGGGTGGGATGCTTCAGGGACCAAATTTGATGCCAGTCACTACCACATTGTATATGTGTATGGGTATTCCTGCCCGCCATCCCCAACATCAGGGAGCTTGAGAAGCCCTGCTTTGGAATACACATGTGAGGGCAGCAGCAGCAGCAGCAGCAGCAGCAGCAGCAGGAGGGATTTGGTCTTACCTAGAATGTGGTACGTGCAGAAGCCGAGGACGTGTGAGACTTTGACCTTGAGCGAGTGTTTCCAAGAGAAACAGCCAGAATGAGCTTTTTCCCCTTTGGCGTTTTAGTAAGTCTAACTGGTTTTGAGGATAACTCTCCCCCCCCCCCCACAGAGGGGCATGTTTTGTAAACAGCTGCTGGTGC